TGAGATATGTATCTATTCTTTTAATGAAACTGTAGTCTAATAGCGTCAATTGTGGTTTTGTATGTTGCTGGATTTAATGAAACCTTTTAATTGTCTTTGGGTTATTCTCACCTTGCTCTGGATCAAGGTTTCATTTGAGATATGATTTGCTGACGTTGGAAGGATTTCATTTTATTTGAGATATGTATCTATTCTTATGCACTGGTGTTTCCCTTATAATGGTATGTGGTTGATTCCTCTTGATTCCTCTGGTTTTATTAGTGCGAGGTTTTTCTCTGGCTTTTGAGTAGGCCGTACCTCTTTTCTTGTTAGTATACCTTTTGGGTATTGATATTTGAGGTTGGCTTTCTGTTTTTCGGGATCTTGTGTTTTCCTCTGTTAAAACTTGAGTTGTGCAAGCTGATTTTTTTTTCCTCATTTGGCATATGCTCAATAGGTACCTGTGGGTAGGGCTACCCTTGGTCGTATCATCAATGTCATTGGAGAAGCCATTGATGAAAAGGGAGATCTCAGTAAGCTATAGATCAACCATAATTCATTTGATCAGTATAGTATACTATTATGATGTGAATTTTTTAACTGACTATGTTTCAATCCACATCAGCAACAGAGCACTACTTGCCTATTCACAGGGAGGCACCGGCTTTTGTTGAGCAAGCAACTGAGCAACAGATCCTTGTAACTGGTATTAAGGTATTTGACATATATACTTATATAGAATTGTAGTTGATGCCTAGGCTCTTATTTTTTTCATCCATGTTAAAAACAGGATGAATTTTGTTGTCATGTTCCGTTTACTTGAATGCAGGTAAAACTTGATGCAAGCATTTGAAATTATGTTCTTTATTTCTTCCCTACAGGTTGTCGATCTCCTTGCACCATACCAAAGAGGAGGAAAGATTGGACTGTTTGGTGGTGCTGGTGTTGGGAAAACTGTGCTTATTATGGAACTTATCAACAATGTTGCAAAAGCTCATGGTTTGTTTAGTTCTTACAGCAATACAAAGTTTTGTGTTTGCATTTGTTCTTTTCACATCTTGCTGATTATATCTTGTTTTCTGTGATCAGGTGGTTTTTCTGTCTTTGCTGGTGTTGGAGAACGTACTCGTGAGGGAAATGACTTGTACAGAGAAATGATTGAAAGTGGTGTCATTAAGCTAGGAGATCAGCAGGTTAGTACTATTGATAATTCACGTGTCTTGCCATCTTATATTTCAAGTTATTATTTGCTGAAATTGTCTTAGTTTGTCTTTTGTTATGTCAGTCTGAGAGCAAATGTGCTCTTGTGTACGGTCAAATGAATGAGCCCCCTGGTGCTCGTGCTCGTGTTGGTCTCACTGGGCTTACTGTTGCTGAGCACTTCCGTGATGCTGAAGGGCAAGATGTGCTTCTCTTCATTGACAACATTTTCCGCTTTACCCAGGTAATATTGGATGCCAATGAATTTCTGGAAAAAAACACCTTAACTTATCACTCCCTGTTGCTGAGTTATTAATTTTTTTCATTTTGCTCTTCTTTGTCCTGCAGGCTAACTCAGAGGTCTCTGCCTTGCTTGGTCGTATCCCATCTGCTGTCGGTTATCAGCCAACCTTGGCTACAGATCTTGGAGGTCTGCAGGAGCGAATTACAACAACCAAGAAAGGTTCCATCACTTCTGTCCAAGCTATATATGTGCCTGCTGATGATTTAACGGATCCAGCTCCTGCCACAACTTTTGCTCACTTGGATGCTACAACTGTGCTATCACGACAGGTGTGACTATTTACTTGAAGTAGGCTAGTAGTCACAGCAATTGTGGTGCTAATATTATATGCTAATTGCTCCTCTTGTTGGACAGATTTCAGAGCTTGGTATCTATCCTGCTGTGGATCCCCTTGATTCTACATCGCGTATGCTCTCACCTCATATTTTGGGTGAGAGCCACTACAACACTGCTCGTGGTGTGCAGAAGGTTCTTCAGAACTATAAGAATTTGCAGGATATCATTGCTATTTTGGGAATGGATGAGCTCAGTGAAGATGACAAGTTGACAGTTGCCCGTGCTCGTAAAATTCAGAGGTTCTTGAGTCAGCCTTTCCATGTTGCAGAAGTTTTCACTGGTGCTCCTGGAAAGTATGTTGAGTTGAAGGAGGGTGTAGAAAGCTTCCAGGTGCTTTTCCTTTTCCTCGGCCTTTTTACCCTCTCAATCTTTTACACTTAACATACATGAACTCACAGCTTGGTCGTTCCTGCCATATTTATTTATATTGCATTTGCTCGTCTGGTTGGATGGTGCTACCCTAATCCTAAATTTAATTCGTTGGCTTTTTCTTTTTCTTTTGTCAGGGAGTATTGGATGGGAAATACGATGACCTTCCAGAACAGTCATTTTACATGGTTGGCGGTATCGAGGAGGTCATTGCCAAGGCTGAAAAGATTGCTAAGGAATCTGCTGCTTAAGACAGGCAATTTTTTTTTTATTCTCTTAAACTGATAACTGCGAAAATCAATAATTAAGGTGGTGCTGGTGATGCCAGCAACAGGATGTTCATTTTTTGAGATCACATGTGTCAGGATTTGCAATTTCTGTTTTAATGTGATTGCAGAGTGTGAAAGAGGAATAGAACTGAGACCTGTCTAGCCAAGCCTCCTTTTTTCATGTTGCTGCTTAAATAAGGGGGAAACAGAGGGAGGTCGATTTGTATATTTTTCCTTTTTATCTTTAGGACATCAAATGTCAATTATTCCTTGAAAATCATTTCTGACGTCGTTTTGGTTATGGATCATCTGGTGTTGGATATTGCGTAACTGGTTTGATCGACTACCAGATCTATTACCTTGGTTTAGCGTGAGCCGATGCGTTTTTGTTGCGGCTAGTTCTTTCTGAGGAATTGTTTCTGGTCTTAATCAGAATTTTCTTTATACGGAATGGTTTCTGGTCTTAATCACTATTTTATCCGCTTTTCTATTTCTCTGTAGTTGAGAGTTTATAGGGAAGTACAATAAGATGATAGGCTCCTATAATAGTTTGCCATTTGAGGTTCGTAACCTGGTTCATGGATTGAAGTTTAAATTTCTGCAAATGATTTTACAAGGTTGACCACCGGTATCAATGGGTCAAGAAAACGATCGTGTTGGTTGGTTAGTCATTATGCCATGCGAAGTTTGTTAGTTCTTTTGCCTTCCAAAGTGTGATTCCTTTCCCAAAACGGGAGTCTCAGTAAAAAGATAACGTGTTAATAGTTTGGACCGAACTCCAAAGGTGGTCTTACAGAAGTTAAGGTCTTGGTTTCTGACGCGAGGTGGCTGATATGGTAATAATTGTATAGTGCTACGCGTGTTAATAGTTTTTGACACGCGTAGCAATGAAAGGAGAGATAGAAAGCTCGCATATTTTGGCATGGCTTGGTGAGATGAGACCAAGGATAGGTCGTGCGACAATGAAATGAGAGAACAGAATTTGGGAGCTTTTGAACGAAATAAGAGACAAAACAACATGGAGCTTTTGACAGATGACTCGATGAATTTTGAGCTTATATACATTTACCATGTCATAATTTTTCAAAAATTCCATATTAATCATATTTTCTTCATCTTATATTAATTAGCAATTATATTTATTTTCAAAGCAAAGTTTTATAAATATATATTTGGTAATGGAGGTTATCGATATATGAAATTTTATTGTAAATAAAAAATATTTTATAATAAAATTCAATTTGAATTACTTGTCCTTTTTCTTTTCTTCGTTGTGAATCTTTATTTTGGACATTTTTATTAGGACTCTAAGGGTTTAAGGATACCAAATCTTTTAACCGATAGAAAATTAAAAAAACAATGTATAAAATAACTCAGGAATGAATTTTTTAGTGCATATCCGTAAAATTTACATTCATCTTGAAATAGTGTGGCACGTAAATTAGAATTTCAATGAATATCATTTTGGAAGATCATTGGGTAGTTGTCGTGATAGGAATGCAATTTTTTTTAAAAAAAAAATTGAGAAAAAAATAGAATAGTCTATCTATTTTTCTATTTATTTATTTTTTAAAAATTATTCACTATATGTTAGACAGCCACCTTTATTTTTTTTAACCTACTAATCTTCGTTTCTAAGAAATTTTGTTATGGGTCGATAACTAGTTGCAATAATAATTCGTCCACATGATACTAAATTGCAATTGTGACTTGACGACCAGCACCTTCACTAGCGACAATTGTATGGAGTTCTTCGCGAAGAAGGAACTTCAATTTAGCCTCTAACATATTATTCTCTCATCAATTGAATCTTAAATCTTTTAATTTTATTAATTTTTATTTAAATGTAATTGATATTAAAAAAAAATCTATATTTCTTTCTATTGATTGCTAAAGACACGTAAAAGATGCCGTCTAATTTTTATATATTCGTTAAATATTTTTATCTTAGACGTTAAAACAAGTCACAATCTAATTATAATTGAGAATTTTAGCATAAAATTATAATAAATTTCTTTTTATTTCACAAAATTTCATTTATTTATTTATTTTTATATATAAATCAGTGAAAATGAATAAAAATATATTTTCAGTTGTTGATATAAATATATATTATTAGAGTTTATTTTGATGTCGTAAACAGAAGCAATTAACTGACACTTGTAAATTACACAAAATCTTATATATGCCTAGAACTAATTTTGGATGGAACAAAAAATAACATTGTTTTTTATTCATTATATTTAGGTGAACTTGATGAAGTTAACAAGTTTTAGACTCAATTCATAATAGGATAATCCTTTGGGATTTTCCCTTATAGAAATTAAACTGCAGTAAAAACAGACAACAAAATCACGGGCCCGCTACTTATCCTACATATTTACAGGATCACTCGAGAACAGGACACGTGGCAACTCACTCGAAACAATTCACCTACGGTGCATTTTATCCAACGCCACCTCTGCCCACCTTTAGCGCCGGCAGCCTCTGGAGACCCATCCAACCGCTTCTCTCATATATTTCCGTAAACTGAAAATCAAAACATGTCCGTTAAACTCTCTCCCTCTCCCTCTACTCTTCTCTCTTTAGCACCGCCTCTCCCTCATGCGCACCTTAGCCCTCCCCTCGTTTCCATGTCTATCCTACGCCGCCTAGGTCCAAAACACCTAACCACACACCTCAGGCACCACAACAGGCGGCGTCTAGCCACTGTCGCCGCTGCAGTACGGCAAGACACAACAGTCTGGACGCAAGCGCCTCTCTCCGAGATCGAACCAGCAGCCGAATCACTCTTCCACGTGAGCATCGACGTCTCAGACTCTGCAGACATCGCAGCTTCGTACACATGTGCTGGACAATATTTACAGCTGCGCGTCCCAGAGGTGGAGAAGCCTTCGTTCCTGGCCATCGCCTCGCCGCCATCTTACGCAGCGGAAAAAGGGGCGTTTGAATTTTTGGTGAAGAGCGTAGCGGGATCGACGGCAGAGCTGTTGTGCGGACTTAAAAGAGGAGATTTGGTGGAATTGAGCCAAGCTATGGGGAGAGGTTTCGAGATTGATCAAATTGAGCCTGCAGAGAAGTATCCTACGGTTCTGATTTTCGCCACTGGATCTGGCATCAGGTGCAATTTCTTTCTTTCTTTTTTTCCGTCTGAATTTTGCTAGTCTTATATGCTATTTACTTTTCTGCTAGAATTTACTGTTCGTGGCTTACAAACTCTATCTAATAACAATCCGTTGAGAGACTGCAGTACGGACACTAGTCCTATTCAGGTTGTTGGAACATTTTCGCTAATGCAATTAGAAGTTTAGAACCTGCCCAATGCAAGCATTGCACGTTGGTGAATAACGTATTAAATTTTGATAATTAAAATGCATTATTTACCATAAATAAGTTATAATTTCTTAGCCGGAACCTTGCTTATTGTTAACCTGAACTAGAGCATGCCATTTAGCCACTAGTAGATGTTTCTTGTTTGGCGTTGAGTAATCTCACTTCATGTCGCTTTAGAAAAATGATTCTTGTTATTGCCATTTATGTTCGCTAGAATTTTTGTATTTTTGCTTTTGTTTCCTGATTTATCTGTTCTCTCCTGCAGTCCAATTCGATCTCTTATAGAGTCAGGGTTTAGTGCCGATAAAAGATCTGATGTGAGGCTGTATTATGGGGCTAGAAACCTTAAGAGAATGGCTTACCAGGTTTGCTTGCGTCTTTCTTCTTTATGGTATATATACTACTGTAGAATTACCTTTGCTTGTCTGATTGGCTTTAAACTTTGTGCTTCCTCCTCCTTTAGGATAGGTTTAAACATTGGGAATCTTCTGGTGTTAAGATTGTGCCAGTGCTATCACAACCAGATGGTAGTTGGACTGGTGAAAGTGGCTATGTACAGGTAGATTGGACATACTTGCTTTCTAAGGTTGTTGATGTGTAAAAACCCCAAATTAACATCTCTACATATCATTTGTTTTTTCAGGCTGCTTTTGCCAGGGCCAAGCAAATTCATAGCCCTACAGGCACTGGTGCTGTTCTCTGTGGGCAGAAACAGATGACCGAGGTTTGTTACTTCATTTATTTGTCACTGTTTATGTTTTTCTCATAATCTTTCCAAGCATACATACTTTCTGCATTTATAATTCCTGAAAGTATGTTATTCACCAATTTGCCATGTTACTCATGATCTGACATTTGGCATAACTTGCAAATCATAAATTAGGAAAGTGGTCTTGACTATTAAGTGAATGCTTTGCAATTGCATCAGCATGGATTTTTCCTCATTTGCTCAAATCTTGAAAAATCAATGCAGATGGTATGATTGTATGGAAAAAATCTTCAATATATGCCAGAACATACTAAAACTTCTTTTGCGTCTGTTTCTTAGGATTTCTCCTATTAATCACGTCATCCTGCAAATCACCCTCGTTCTTCAACCCCTTTTTCTTTCTTCCAAAGCAGTTATAGTTGACACTTGAAACAATTGATGTCCTTAGCTAACTAATTATATGGAGAATGAATTGTTGAAACTATGAGGAAAAGAAAACTGAAAATTGTAGATCTTAATAATCATAGATGATGATTGTTATTTTTAGGATGTTGGTTTCTTAGCGAGGAGGCTGCCTCTATAAACCTAGAGCCACGACGTGAGAAACACTTTTTAAGTTTGTTAACAAGTAGTTCTCCATTCCTTGGCAAGTTGGCATTTACTCAAGAGCAGTTTGTCCCTTCTGCTAGGGATCAGTTGCACAAGACAGCAATCATTTGGACAAACATTTTTGCAACGGTTTAGCTACTGGCTTGGCTGTATTGTTGTAGTAAAACAGTTGTTCATGGTGAGGAGATTGATTGAGTGGAATGGCCAGAAAGGGTCTCTACTTATGAACTGAAAGAGCGAGGTTACTAGTATAACATGTCTTTGAAGGCAGCAAAAACATTGTCGATAAATGTAGTCATAGTAGATGTTATAGAAACGAGTGATAATTTGCTGGCCCAGCCTGGCCAACTAGGATATCAGGGACATCAGGGGAGCTGCATCATTTACTTTTTGAAAATTACTGTCAATAGGACGATATGATGCATATCAATTCAAACAAATAGCTCCTAGTTGATGATGCTTTGAATCATTGCCACTGAAATACCCTTGTAAAACTTGTAATTGTTGGGAGTGAGTTGGAAATTTTTTTCTCCTGTTATTGAAAGCAAACTGTTCTGTTGAGAAGATACCCATGCTAAATTGATTCAAACGACAGAATAATGCTGTTGATATGCATAATTTAATGTTCTCTGCTAGAACCACCAATTCCACTTTTAGTGTTATTATCGTCTATATTTATGCAATTAATAACATTAATGTTGATCCCACTTTGCAGGAAGTAGCATCAATTCTTGTATCAGATGGAGTCTCGAGTGAGAAAATACTAAAAAACTTCTGAAAATTAGAGACGAGGTTCATCCTGTTGTATTATTTGTGGACCAACAGTTGATGGTAATTCTTTATTCCCACCGCTGAGGATGAAATGTCCCACTCAGCTAATAAAACCAATTTTGGATTTTTGATCACCTTTTTGTAGGTTGAAATTGACAAATTAAAACTGCTAGCAGATAAGTTATTGGATCGATGCCTGTCGGTTTTAAACCCTTCATTTACACAATTCTGTGTCATCTTGAACGATCCAAGTGTAGGACGTGGATGTGTATTGTTGTGGAAATGCTGCTGCTGCCTGTTTAAGTTTTTCCAACCCCAGTGACGTGGAACTTGCTAACAGAATATACTCCAGACAAAAACGTGATATACTGCAGAAATCCTCTTTTTATGGTAGATTTAAAATATCATGGTTGTTTTTTCAATTGAAAAAAAAACACACACAATATCATGGCTGTTTAAAGGGTTGCAACTTACCGGTTCCCATATTTTTCCTATATACCAATGGATTGATTCTTGAATCTTGAGCATTAATTTTGGTTTTTCTCAGCTCTATAGTTCACATGCCAAGCAAACGAATCCCAGTTTCTTGCTTTAAGGAATCATGCTGGTGCTCCAGTGAAACTGGATATCTTAAGCCCGAGAACATCAATATAAAACCGTATCCAAGCATAAACACTTAAAAGTCTTCACCTAACGGTTGTGTTCCATGATGGATTTGTAAGGTTTGTGCGATGCAGAAATGGATCTTAAGGAAAAGAAACATAACCAATTTTATAAGCAATTTGGCAGCCAGTTCAACCGATGAAAATAGAATAGGGAAGAACCTGAACCAAACATGATTCGGAGTCCCATCTTTTACAGCCTAAAATATTGCATGCAACAACCGCGAGAACCATTCTTCACAAAACCTGAAAAATGAAGCAAGTGCAAAACAAGATTTACGAACAGAAAGAACGAAGCAACAAAATAACAAACTGCAGTATTCTTGGTCTGATGGTTTGAACTGAGTTTGAACATGATTCAAGCAGCACAAAATGGCAATTCCGCGAGTCCAACAAAATTTCAGTATAAATCATACCAAGTATCATCCACAATTAAGTTTTGCACTCTTCCATTAGGGGAAAAAAAAAAAAAAGACAGGAGATTTTTAGAAGGAACTATGCATTCTAAACATTACTAGAATTGTTCCCAACCACAGATCCATCTGCTTGCTCTGCATGATTTCCATTGTTCTCTTCTGCATGCTGGTGTGGATGCTTTCCATTATTTGGGTGCAAATAGTTATTTATCTCATCATCAGCGCGATGGTGCCAGTGCTTGTCACGATTTTGGCGATGATGACCAGATTTCTTGTGCCTTGATACTTTACCTGCTTCTTCAATGTTACAATCTGATGACTTTCCTAAAGATCTGCTCCATTGATCATGCCTATGCCCATCAGAATCTGACCTTGAATCCATGCTATGTGATCTCCGTTGACACTTGTGATGCTTTGCACGGCTATTCCTGTGTTCATCGCTTGAGGAATCTGAATCATATGACTCTGACCGGTGATGGTGGCGTTTGTGGTGCTTTAAATGGCCTCTTCTTCTGATAGCATCATTGTCTTCATCACTTGAAGAATCTGAAGCACTAGATTCTGATTGCCGACGTCGTTTGTGATGTTTTGCATGGCCTCTCCTCTTGACAGCTTTATCATCATCGCTTGAAGAGTCATAATCACTAGAGTCTGATCTTGAATTGCGATGATGCCTGTGTCTTCTGTGGTTTCTCTTCCTCCTCTCTCCTTCAGAGTTAGACTCGATGGCATTGCTGCAGTCATCACTTGACCCTGAGGACTGTCTCTTTGTCTTTCGCTTGGATTTTTTTTCCTTCCTCTTCTCATTGTCACCTAAATCAGAGTGGTAGTGCTTCCTGTGTTTCTTGTGTGTTCTTTTCCTGCTTTTTCTCCCATCACTGCTATCACTATCACTATCACTATCAGTGTTCGAGTTCGATACAGATCTTCTTTTGTGCTTTGCAGCCTTCTGCTTCCTCTCTTTGGCTTCAGCATCAGCCTTCGCCTTTGCAGCAGCTTCTAACTTCTGCTCCCATTTCAAAGGGGCTTCTTTCCTCTCCAAGGCTCTCTTCTTTTTTCCTCAACCAACTGGATGAACTTCTTGCAGTCCATTTATATATAAAATCCAAATCAATATCTGCATTTTGATATGATGATGACCAGAAGTGCATCTCAAAGAAGAGAAAAACAATGTTAGTTCTTCCATCATCAAACATAAGCTTGAATGTCAAAACTACAGATAGGAAAACTTTGATTTTTAATAAAAGACTGCTACAAGACCATAAACAATATAATAGTGATTACAACGATTCCTAGTTACCTATGTAATTGTTAAACCAAAAGCATATAACAACTGACTGTTTGTAGAGAAGGGACCAATTGATAAATAGTTCAAAAAAAAAAAAAAAAAAGGGGGCCATACGCATATTAATGGTGCTAAAAAACATGCAATATGTATTAAAAATAATAATAATAAAAAAGATAATAACTCAAAACAACGTATAGAATGAGGCAAATTTGATTCAACTTTCTTACCTTATGTGCGAAAAAGGAGGCCTCCTTCAAAGTCCAGAGCTACTAGCTTTCCAAGACAGGAACAGAAATCTACATGGTAACCAAAAACAAGGTAAACCAGATATCAGAAAACCAAAGTTTGGAAGCAGACCAAGACTCCAATTACCAAAAGGGAAAAAAGAGAGCTTCAAAAGTTTCAAAACTTTCTAAGGAAGGGATCCCAAATAATACTGTATAGCAATCCAGAGTTATTTCTTTTCTTGCATTTCCTTAACAAGCATACACATGGACACACACACACACACACACACACACAGCAAGAACGTAACCTCTTTGAAGGCTTTGAACACATTTCTTACTGGGTCTACAAAATTTCGTCAATACAACCAATTACTTTTGTATTTTAGTTATACACTTCTCATTAGTTAAATGAATCTCCTAATTTGCCCTATCCATTTAGATCAAAAATTCAAAAAGCATGTCCGAAATTGAAAATGCAATAGTTATAACCATTACAAATGAAAGGCAAAAAAGCCGGAATCGTAAATTCCCAGGCCAAGTTGAAACAGCGACCGGTAGTTTCTTTCCCTTTTACATGCATTTATTTAGTCACTTTTCTACAATAAAATTAACTGTTGAACAGTGGTCTACGTTAGAAGCCTTAAACAGTTATTCATTATTAACCTAAGGTTTATCAGTTCAACAGGTAAAAAAAAGCTGACATTTTGTCAACTGAAAAAACCCTAGATCACAGAAGTTCGACAGAAATAACAAATAATACTAGATTTAAAAAAGAAAAAAAAAACAAACGGGTTCAACTAACAGCTAGCAAAGAAGAAAGATCGAAAAAAAATAATAATAACCTAAGCCCTAAATCACACGACCGATGAAAAAAAAAAAAAACAGTAAATCGCAGAATTGATGAAGAATATAAGGATAATGAAGGTTACCTTGAAGATAGAATGAGAAAAGAGAAAAGATGACAGAGAAAAAGTAGAGCTTTTTGTTTGATAGTAGCCTCTTCTCTCCTCCTCGCCTGTAGCAGCTAGTTTATGGGTTGTTTTTTGGGCTTAACCATTCAACTCAGTCGGCGCAACAATATATGCTTTTCTTTCTGGAACCATCTAGTCGTGCCCATGTGTCGGTTGTAATAGCTAATAAAGATGAGTCCACACGCGCACACAATGGTTCACTCGTGTGAGACGCGTTCCACTTTCTTTTTCTCTGTTTGTTCTAATTTAGTAATTGCTCCCGTTATTTAAAAGCTGTTGCGATCCTTATTCCGTACAAGGCGTGCGATCACCATAATCCAACGAGTTAAGTAATTCTTTGCTTTGTAAGTCTAGAAGTAAGTTTCTTGGCAAAAAAAAAAAAAAAAAAAAGGTTCTCATTCTCTCTTAATTTAACGAGTTAAAACTTTAGAGGTTGGTGTTCAATTTATATTGACGTCAATAATTTAATTTGAAAGTATTTTTTAGGATATTGTTCAATTTATAAAAAAAATTTATTCTTATCAATTTTTTAAGATAATTATGGATACATCTTTTACTAATTAAAAATAATTATTTTATAATAAATATTATTGGAGGCTGTATTAATAAATTTCTTAAAAAAATTATAGGAATAATAATTTATTCGTTGAATTTAACAGTATCTTATTTTTTAAAATGAATTAAAATAATAATAATAATAATTCTTTCTTCTCTCTTTTCTTTTCCTTTTTATTAGAATTGTATTCTCATGCTAGTTTTTATACAATAAGAATAGGTTTCTTAAATTTCATAATTAAGTTTTAAATGAATCAAGGAATTAATTTTGTAGTGGTTTCCATTAACATTCTAAATTTAAATTTGGGAAGCAAATCATTAAATAATGCTCGTCAAAATTTTCATTTTTTTTAAAAACACCCAAACGTGTAATTGAATCACATTCTATACATGTAAAAACAATTGGTTTTCTTTTATGAATTATGAAACAACAATTTTTATCATCAATTGATTATAAACCGATTAAAATTCAGAACAACAACAGATATTAATGATAAAAAATTAAAATATAAATCTAACCATAACTTAATAATCAATAATAATAATAACAGGAGTCCTGTATGTATTCAGTGAAATTCCAATGATATTAGTTGAAGACAGCCTCCCTCGTTATGTCTGTCGCTAACGTATTTTTGATTCACATGTTAGATGCTAAGAAAAATATATTAAGACCAGTTTTTGAGCACTACATCAACGTTGATCTCTCCCACTTGGTTAAAGCCATACTTCCTTCGAAAATCGGCCCAATCCTTGGAGATTTATACTTTCCGCTTTATGAAGAACAGTGAAAAATTTTACTATTCGGCAAAACGGTCCGCACCAATTTTGCTTAATTAGCTTGCCTTGCTAAGAAGATAGAAGGAAAAGAAAAAAAAGAAAAATCAGCAGAGTCAATGAATTAGACTCGCCTCTTAAAGACTCTTCCTCGACTGTACCAACAAAATCCCCAAATTTCTATTGCCATCACCATGTCTGGCCAATCGTCCTCCACATCAACAGCCACAAACATCATGCTAGCAATCTACGAGAAAAAAACATCCTCCGTCGACCTCTACCGTCCTCTTCGCAACTACATCTCCATGTTCTACTCCGAACACGAAGCGCAAAACCTCGAAGACGATCTCCAAACTGTCAAACAATACCGTTCCGATCTCGAACGCCAACCTGACCCGTCCCCTACTTCCCGCCGCGACCTCCTCCAAAAGTACTTCAAAGCCCTCTGCTTGATCGAAACCCGATTCCCAATCTCCCCCGACAACGACCACATCAACACGGTCACGTTTGTCTGGTACGATGCGTTTAAGCAAAAACTGAAAGCGTCGCAGCAGAATATTCATTTAGAGAAGGCTGCTGTGCTTTTTAATTTGGGTGCCGTTTATAGTCAGATTGGCTTGTCGTTTGATCGGGCCACAATGGAGGGGAGGAGACAGGCGATTCATGCGTTTATTGCTGCCGCTGGCGCGTTTGCTTATTTAAGAGATAATGCTGCTACGAAAGCGTCTATGGGGACGAGTACGACGGTTGATCTGTCGGTTGAGTGTGTTGGGATGTTGGAGAGATTGATGCTTGCACAAGCGCAAGAGTGTGTCTTTGAGAATACTATTGCTAAAGGGAGTACGCCTGGTGTTTGTGCCAAGATTTCTCGGCAGGTTAGTCTCTTTTTATTAGTATTATTGATCAGCTCAAATGAATGTGTGTGACCACTGCAAGTGAATTTCTGTAATTTTGTTTACTGCAAAGAAATCTATTTTTTCGGTGCCTTGTTGGTGAATTTGTATGGAAGTTTCTAAGGAGAAACTTATGATGTCGACTGAGTTGTGATTACTGAAAAGCTTGTAAATTTATATGATTTATTATGAATTGACAATGAATGTGTCGTGTTTGTCATGGCTTAGGTTGTTGTACTTTGTTATTATTTGGAAATGTGGATGCCATTGAGTTGTGAAATGAACATTTTGTGGGATTTTGGCTGGTTGATTGTATTTTCCTTACACCTGGTGTGGATTTGTGTTTAATTTATTCCATCTCTTTTGGTGATTGTTTGAATTTGTTTTGATAATGGGCGTTATATAGGTTGGGTTGTACTACGAGGAAGCTTTAGGAGCACTGAATGTCACACCTCTAAAAGATCATTTTGACAAGGGTTGGATTGCTCATGTCCAATTAAAAGCAGCTCTGTTCTATGCAGAAGCATGTTATCGATACAGTTTGGAGCTTCATGAGAAAGAAGAAATTGCAGAAGAAATTGCACGATTGAAGAGTGGGGCAAGTGCATTAGCAGAGGTGAAAAAAAGTTCAAGGGGGCTGCAGCACAGCTACTGGAAGCAATTAGCAAGCTAGAAGCCAATATCAACCGCAACCTGGACAGGGCTGTCAAGGAAAATGATAGAGTCTACCTCATGAGGGTTCCTTCCCCAAGTTCCTTACCCCCTCTTCCAGCATTTTCCATGGTCAAGATCATGCCAATGAATGAGGTACTCGATGCCAGTAGGGAGAAGTTGTTTGCTAGTCTTGTTCCAGACAGCAGTGCAAAAGTTCTTTCAAGGTACACCGAAATGGTTGACGATATTATCAGGACACAAGCTGAAAAATTGCAGCAAGGGAGTGAGCTAGCTCGAGTGAGGCTCAAAGAAATGGACCTGCCAGATTCTATTCTTTCTTTGGAAGGAAATACTACACTTCCAACAGATCTTAAAGAAGATGTGGAAGCAGTGCAGATTAGTGGGGGCCCAGCTGGCCTTGAAGCCGAGTTGCAGCAACTGATGGATTTGAGGAGGGTAAACCAAGAATTGCTGGTCCAGACTGAGGAACTTTTGCAAAAGGAAGCAACAGAAGATGCTCAGTTTAGAAGCCAATTTGGTACACGGTGGACCAGGCCTCAATCCAGCACATTGACAAAGAACTTGCAGGATAGATTAAATAGGTTTGCAGCCAACTTAAAGCAAGCTGCAGATAGCGATGCCAGAATTGAACGTTCAGTGAGGGATCATTCAGCACTCATGTCGATTCTTGATCGCCGGCCGGTATGTCTTTTGAACTGCTGTTATTTGTCTGTTTATCATAGAAAATTTAACATGTTATCAATTTTGCTTTTGCTATCTCCTAGGGTTTCTTGGGCATCAATAATGTGCCTGTTGTTATTTGTCTGTGTATCATAGAAAATTTAACATGTTATCTTGATGTGATGGGATACCAATCATTTGAATAATAAAGCCATAGGCATCTGAAAGCATTCATCAGTTGTGATCTTTCTTGATTTTTCTTGTATTGAATAACTTGGTCTTGATCTTAGAAGATATAGAGATACTCTATTCTTTGGATTAATATGTGTATAGTAATCTTAGTTCTATGTTGCTCTTATCAGATAGAATCTGCACTTCCAACTTTAGCTAGGCCGATAATGTCTTTGGATGCTAATGAAGATGCTATAGTAGGGGCCTTGAAGCAGAGCTTGGTATGTATCTTCTTTCTTAGCTCTTTTTTTCAATTGTAGTGTTGTGTAGTAGTGTTGTCCTTCCTTTTCCCTGATGAACTCAACCTTGCCCCTTTTTAACAATGAAAAGAAAAAGGAATTGTTAACTGAATCCTTTTCTGTTGCTGCAACTTCTTGCCGTAAATATTTTTCTTTTTTTATCCTCATCCATAGCTTATGTTGTGGCTGGTTTGCCTTGACATTTCATGGAGTAGGTCTTAGTAATTTGATATATATTTCAGTTTTCTCGGGATGCACTTGACAATTGGTTTTGTAAGGACAAGTTATTTTGTGCTGTCATCAACAGGATCAAGCTTTGACAGAGAAAGGAATGCTTTGGGCATGGGTAGTTCAAAACTGGCAAGAATATTTGCATAAAATAATTTACATCTATAACTGCATATAGTTGGATATATTACTACTAGTATTAATGTTGAAGGAACTTGACCAATTTTTTAGTTCATTGCTGATAATGAATTCTCAACCCTATAGAAGGAAGGGCAATTGGTTGTGGAATATCGTAATCATTCTCATTGGCAAGTGGAGCAAAATATTTGTATTATTTTGGCATGTGAAATCCTAGCCAATGTATTTAAAAGAAATGTTTAATATGACGCAAACAGGGCGCATGAATGACAGTCAAAACTTCAACATATAAGCAAAGTATTGCAAAAAAGAGAGTTTTAGACCGTGAATTATTGGTAAAGCAAGCTAAAGAATATTGTAACCAGCTTCTTGATGAGTTCCATTTTTTTAAGTTTTAATAGGAATTACTTTCAAGTAAAAATTATGACGTATGTCTTTTCATCTGTGCAGAGGCAATTGGAGACTCTTGGTGCTCAACGAGCTGGTCTTGAGGACATGCTCAAAGAGATGAAACGGAAGGTGAGATCAAATATCCAGCGAGTCTGGTGCTTCGTAACTTCTATATTGCATGCTAACTTTTTGTTGGAAGAATTTGAGAAAACCAGCATAATTGTTTACACATGAGGATGCATGAATGTCACTTTCTAGTACCCTGCTTTTTTTTTTTTTTAGCTTTCTATTCTTCTGGGGAGCAACTTTATTAGGCTGCATTACATGTATTGTTTCAGGATGATGTACTGCCAAAGCTGATGACATCCACCGGATCCTACGAAGATCTTTTCAGGAAAGAGATAGCAAAATATGATCCCATCTGTGAAGACATTGCACAAAATATTGTGGCACAAGAACAGTTGTTGTTGCAAATTCAGGTATATTTCTTTTACTCAATGCTCTTTTGGAATTGGTTTCCTGTCTCTCTTTGAAAATCCAGAATATCTTCTTTAATATTTCTTGATGTTCTTGGATGAGAATAGCCTACTTGCTTAAGTAACTTAGAATAACTAGAAGGATGCGGATCATTTATTGAGACTGGTTTTGCCCAAGCTTTGTTGTGTAAGCCTGTATCAGGAACTGTTGGAAGGTTTGCCAAACAGTGGCTAATACAGATTGCAATTTGAGTGGCAACATTTATTGAGACTGTTTGTTTATTTTGTATATTTTGCTGTCACTTTGAACAAATGAGGTAACTAAATTATCTGGCAATGGCTGCCTCCTTTTAATAGCCCAAAAATTGACAATGAAGAGGAGTCTTTACAATTACATTGGTAGGATGCGTTTAAATCAGCATGGATAGATAAACTTGCTTTTCCGAAATTCTTTCTGTTATTATTGAAGCTTAGTTGATGAGTTATTTTTTTTCCACCTTAGGTTTCAATGGTCATAGAAAGCAATTCAGCAATCATTTATTAACCTCTTTTCTGAATTGTTAGCTTCTTATGAGGCAATTTCTGTTCCTAAATTTATAGATTGTCCTTGTTTACAGGCTCAAAATGAAGAGTTTTATGCTGTCTTCAATCTTGAAGATTACAAAGGTAGTTTTTTTCCCCCCTTGTATAACTGTTGTTTCAATACTGTTTGAATGGGTTTCCTTAATGGGAATAGGGGTGAGCATTCGGTTAAACGATTCGGTTTTGTACTATTCGGTTCGGTTTTTGGTTAACCGAATTAAAAAAAATAAAAACCAAAACCGAACCGAAATAAATTCGGTAAATTCGGTTTGTAACCGAATTATTTTGGTTTGGTTTCGAAATATTTCGGTTTCAACCAAAATATTTTGCTATAAAAAAAAATCATTACAAAGAGATGTTTTGTACTAGTACTTAGTCCACTAGCCAATGAAGTAACATATTGTTATCAATTAATCCTTTTTATAAACAATCATAAAGCCCTTGAAGATTTTAACTAAGCTTTAATGAAAACAAGTTCAAGTGTAATAAATTTGCTCATTCAAACACATTGTATCCCAATTAATTACGCTCTCGTCACTTTCTTTTCTTACCCCAACGGTCCTCAAAATTTACTTCTCATATGCATGTTTCAGTTTCAACAAGAATGAAGATTGAAAAGTTAGGGATTTAGAAATTAGGAAATTTTTTACTTTTTATTTCGCTTTTCGATCGAAATCGAAATTTTTTTCTAAAAACCGAACCAAACCGAAATAATTTCGGTTTTTTCGGTTCGGTTTTGTTCGGTTTTCTATTAACCGAACCGTTTGCCCACCCCTAAATGGGAATGCTTATTGTGCATGTATTTTATCCACATGTTGATGTAGCAGAGTTTATATTTCCACTATGTTGCTTATTTTGCTTTTGTGTAGAAATCAGAACATGACCATTCTGTCAAACCATTGTTACAAAAAGGTTTTCTAGACTTATATTAAAATGATATGAAGAATTTAATTTCTTTATGATATTTTATTAGTTTCCATCCCTAAGCTTTCTGGTATGTTTTTCCTGAAGCTGGCTACTTAATCTTAAAACAAGAGATCATATTCTCTTTCAGTGCTGTGCTTGACCTTTACATTCTTAGTCTAAATGAAATTCATGCTTTTTTGACATAAATCTCTCTCTCAATTTGAATCAGCATCCCGTGAAAAGTGTTATAAGCAAATACAGGCTGCCATAGCCAAGTATCGAGAAATAAAGGAGAACATCAATGAGGGATTGAAGTTTTATGTTACTCTTCAGGTAAACACTTTTTTGTTGCTTCTATCTGTGCTGTTAGGATGCAAACTTCTGAACTTATGATCAAATAGAACATATTCACTTCTTTTAAGTGCCTACTGAAATTATTCCCTTTCTTCCCTGTATGATTTTTAATTTTACATCCCCACGTCCATCCCTTTCCTTTGTACCCAGACGCTATAAATTATTTTTGATGGGTTTTTAAATAGTTTAGCTGGGTTACATACCAAGGGTTGATGAAAGAAATCTATTGGTTGAATCAGGATGCCATTACCAATGTCAAACAGCAGTGCAGTGATTTTGCGATGACCAGAAATATCCAATGCCGAGAAATGGTTGAAGATGTACAAAGACAAATGGCTGGACTAAGTTTTCAAGACCGTAAAAACACAGGCTCATACAGCTATCCTGCGGTAAACCAGCCCCATCAAACTCAAAGATCCAGTTCCCAGCCGCCATCAGATCCTCAAAATGTTCCGCATCCTCGCCCCCAAACACCGTACTATCAGCCTCCTGAGCAGTCTACAATACCTGGCTATGCCCATCCTCCTCCCCCTTATACAACACCACAGCAGCCACCTCCTTATCATATCCCTCCTGCTCCTGGTGCTCCTTACCCACCCCCACAGGTTCAACAACCACCAACAAGCCATGAGTATGGCCAACCTGCCTATCCAGGATGGCGGGGCCCATACTACAATGCCCATGGACAACAACCTGGATCTTTCGCTCGGCCTCCTTACACTATTCCAGGTCCATACCCTCCTCCTCACCAAGGCTACTATAAACAATAGTTTTCTTTTGACTTAATAATTTGATCATCCATTGTGTGTTATTTTTGTTGCTTGATTTCATCCTTTGTGGATAGATGGATTTAGCTAGCATTTGGTCGCAAAACGTAATTATCATGAATAGCCATTGGCTTTGAATAATCTCTGTACGTGCATTGCATAGTTCTTTTTCATGTTTTACATATGTATAGCTTGTTAATTCAAATATGCAGAGGTGATGCGGTTGTAAGAGAAGTTTTCATTAATTTATTTGTAATTTTATTAAATTTACATTTTTTTTTTTTAAATTACGTTTATGCAATCTGGGAACTTGATCTATTGTTTGGGTTTGGCTGATGCGGGATCGTGCTTCTAAGCCATTTGATCAATATTTCACAACCAATAGTTTAGATTGAATATTAGAAGGGGGTTGGGATATTCAACACAATCAATGGCTAAAGCGTGCACACTAGCCTTTCATCAATTGTTTAGTAGTTATTAGTTGCAGCCCGGAGCTTTATTTGTAGGATTTTGTTTTCTTTCCTATTTCATTGGTTTTTCTATTTTGTATGGCACGCCGGGGCGTTCCATGTATCTATTTAAGCACACTTGTTCTACATGTTAGGCTGGTATTCAATCAATAAGACATTTGAGCCTGTGGATTCCAAAAATTCTAGTTTCTTGTGTATTCAAGAACTCCGCCTGAGGAGTTTTAAGGGACTATCGCTGTCTATTCTCTCCTTGTTCTATACCTAATATTGAACATTGTGCAATATCAGAATTTAGCTCATTTTCTCAGAAGTTTTCATGTGGTTTTAGAGCTGCCGTTACTGGAAAGACTAATGTTCCCACCGTGCTGTATTCCACCTGTATGTGGGTCTGAATCATGAATTTTGCCTGCATATTATCCTTATATTTTTCATATATATATATATATATAGCCAAATCAGTGCCGAATTACTTTTTGGTTTAAAACTATTTTAAAAAAAAAATTCTATTTTTTTTTAAAATAATGTGAATATACCAAAAACACCACCAATCCACATGTGTAATAATTTTAAGGTATTGATTTTTAGTTTATTTATATTATTTTTTAAACTTACAAAAATCAGGAAAAAAAGAACGATTTTAGATTTAGACTGAACTAAAATTTCAAAAACCAAATCTAATTGGAAAACAGTAAAATTTCGCTTTTTTTTTTTTTTAAAAAAAAATTTGAATTAAAAACCCGACCAAAATTAGTATTTTGATTCGATTGAAACTGAGGGGTGCTCAGTTGCTCACCTTTAATCTTTTAGCATTCAAAATGACTAGATGGGGGGAATTTGAGATTCCATACCAAACCGCCCCTTAAGATAATTGGGCATCACTCGTTAATCCTGTTTTTATCTATAATAGGGCAGTTCTAGCGTGTAGTTTTTGAAATATCATGTCATTCCACGATTTGTATCTTGAAATTAATCCTCTGCAATCAAGAAATCTCGCTAAATCTTTCAAGTCAGCGTTTGGTGGGAGGTCTGCATTAATGCACGTTGTTTTTCCACCAAAAATATGCTGAATTGTGGAAGAAGCAAAACTTTTTGAAATGATGAAATGATTTTACCTAATAATTGCTACAAAATCTGCGAACAGCACCTTTTGTCCAGCGGGATATAGGGTTTGCAACAAAAACAGTATGTTTTGTACTAGTTCACATGGGGGAAAAGGCTACCAACGCTTGGACTAGCGAGTAGCAACCTAAACATGCAGATTCTGAAGGTAATTTTACATGGCTCTACTCTCATGGGTTTTGAATTGATTCCTTCTGGCACTCGTACAAGTAATTTCATTTTCTGAAACACGAACAGGAACAGCTACGTAACAGTCCGACCAATACAGTGTTTGATCCCAAGGACCGAGATTTGAAATGTCTATACCATCCCAAAAAAAAAAAAAAAAGTGCTGGTTTATGCATTCCAAACACAGACCAATCAAGAATTTGATGCATACGATAAGTAGCTAATTTGATTTCTTAGAAGTTTGTTAAAAAGTTTGCCCTTGCAACTCAATTGAGCAAGAAATAATCATTTGCAACTTCGAGTACAAAAGGGCAACCAGATCATTCCGTGGACCATATCAAACATATGAAGATCCAAATCCAATACAGTGTACATTTTCTGTTTTAATTGGTTGACATGGCTTTGAATCCATGCTCATGTAATTATCTTTTCTTTCCTTATCACCTAATCTATTTACAGCAACACAGGGATACAAATCAATGAGAAATCAACAAAACCTCATCAAGTACACAACTCAAAAAATTTCCTACTTGAAACAACTGTTCATGGCCTATGTTGGGCATAAATTGATGACCGAACAGAATGATGAGAAGAGAGAACTTTTCCATTCACATGAACTTGCTCTGTGAAATCCACACGAATTGATTTGAAATTGTAATGCTGATTAAATAGACACAGAACCAAAATTCAGGAATCAAATCGTCATTCATCATCATCAGTTTTTTCATTAGAAAGAAAGAGCAAAATATTCCAAGGGAGATATGAAATTGTGTCTTGTCAAAGTAGAGCAACGTGGTTTCAAAATGATGTTTTACTACCAAAGAATGTATTGTTAACTTGCTCCTAGTGTTGCACCCACACAATACATCCGTGATTTCACTATTCCAACTTAATGCATATTTTTGTTCTACTTAATCCTTTGTCTCTTCCCTAACAAACTTCTCTTGCCTTGTGTCAAAAACCCATCTAAATGCTAACAATGCTACCATGGTGTACCACAAATTGGTCAATGCATGAATATCATCTAAATTGTGTAGGCTAGCGTCAATTTTTTAGCTAACTGAAACAAAAGACTAGCTAAAGTAAGCCACAGCCAATTATAGATGAAAGAGATCCCCTACGCTGTTCAAAGTTAGATTTTGAGTGCGTAAGGTAAAATTAATTAGATGGAAACCACATCAAAGCTAATAAATAGAGAGGCTGGTCCAATATCTTAACAGGTTGGCAGTAATGACAAGGTTTGCCTACTGGAAGTGGGATTTTGAGTGGGCAAAAACAAGGCTGAATCAGATTGAACAACGTCAAAGTAAAACAGAGGCTGGGTCTGATATTTAAATAGGTCAGCAGAATTGAATCAAGAGTAGCTATAAAACATCAAACTCAAAGCTTCAGGCGACAGGGTTCAACCTGTGTCCTTGTTAATTCCACTTCGATCATCTCATATCTCCTCAGGCCTAGAGCCCTTAATATACCCATTTTCAAGCCAATGTCCTTTTTCATCACCACCACCACCACTACTACAAGCAAAAACCTTAACCTTTGAAAGAACATAACAATCATATGCCAAACCATTTACACCTAGATTTGGTAAATTGTATTGCTGCAGTGTTTGTCTATTGCAGAATGAGATTGGGAGAGATTCATCTGATTGGTTGTTGAAGCCTACATTATCTATATGCTATTTCACCTGATGATTAACATGCAAATACACCATGGAGTTTGAAAATGGGTTGAGAGAAATTTTAAGAAACTGGGTTCTGAGGCAGAATACTTGAGGAGAGAAAGAGTTGTGCCTGGGCCCTGGCGACGACAGGATGATCAGGTTAGGGATTAAGGGAAAATGAACATAAGGAATGCACGCAAGTCTGAATTGTAAAATTAAGATGCATGAAAGTCATGGGTGCCACATCAGCATCAAGTTAATAGGAGTAAGGAAGATACTGAAGTATTATTTTTTATGCTATAGCCAACTTTTCTCCTTTAATATTAAGACAATGATGATATAACAGGCAGTGAAACAAAGTCGGATGTTTGTACCAAAATGAAGAAAAATGTTTCAACTATGAGAGAGAACATACCTTTTCCTTCCAAGAAAAATCAACATAATGGTAATAAGGCTCCAAAAGAGTTAGCTGATCTCCTTCTTTAATCTGCGAGCAGAATGAATTATCATTAGCAGTAATATATTGATTGAAAAGATTAAAGACAACGGCAGATTTTGTTTGCTGAATTTAGAGCAAGATTGGGCTCAATCCACTTATTAAGTATCGTGATTTTGAGGTTTACAGGAGTATTAGTTGTTGCTGAAGTAAGTGGAACCTCCAGAATACATTGGAGAATGTTTGCCAACCCAAACAAACCCTTTCTTTTCTTCTCATTCAACACACACAAAATGATCTGAAGACAATAGCTAGCTTATTTTCAGTTATGGCTGCCCTCAAAACTGAAAACTTCCTAGAGCAAGTTGTCACAAAGAAAAAGTGTTCTTGTAAGTAGAAGATGAGGAGGAGATGAATTTGATCAGTTTTTTCAAGTTGTCTGGACAAGCAACAGCATGTAAGTATAGATTAGATGTCAAATAATTAAACAGAGAAACAATTTCTTGGGAATGCACCATCAGGGTGTGGATGGCCTGCTTAAGACTAGACCGGGGAGAGACTAATTCTCAGTGAGGGAAAGCAGGCCAGAGGATTCCCTCACCATTAAGAATGAAAAAAAAAAATGATCATCTAGAGAAGTATATCATAATGGAATCATCCCTTCAAAAACACGGTTGTTCCAACCAAAAAAAAAAAAAATCTGCTGCATTTCTTCCATAATTGGCATTTTCCCATGTAATAATCAACAGATCATTGAAAGAGTATTACTATCTGTCTCATCCATCATGATTTGCCTGAAGAGTTAAAAGGCAAGTTTGGTAGTTCCTGTTTTTCCCTAATTGTCCACCCAAAGAATATTTCCTCATATCCCACGGTATGCTGCTATTCCTATGTGACCTAAACTCTCAAGAGGATTATAAAGCAAAAGTGAACAACAGAGTAGAGAAGAAGACTAGCAAGAGAAAACGGCAAACATAGCGAGTGAAGCAGCTAACTCTTACTGCATCATTGCGCATCCCATACACTGATAGAACAAAGCATATTTGATTTGAATCACACACCAAATAATATCTGCAGAGGGAAAGACAGAGCACTATGAAACACTGAAAAGCAAAACTAAGAAAGTTCCATAGCTAATTAAATCCAAGAGTAGCACGAATTTACATAGATGATTTGGCAGAGACTTACAGGGGAATGTCATTCTCTTGCTTGACAAAGAAAAGCACTTTTCCCACTAATGCTACTGCTCTGTTCAAGCCCTCTAACAACTGATCTACAGTGGCTCTTTTATATGAAGAATTCACTTACAGGTGAAAAGGCATGCAACAATGATTAGTACATTCCATTTGTGAAAGGAAAAAATGCATGATCACTCAGAACTGAAGGGGTCCATTGAGTAAAAACACAAAAGAGTCAGGTAACTTACAATTAACAGTAGCCAAGGATGATGCCAAAGAAGCAAGTCGTTTAGCTCTAGCTTGCCCCTATAAATTCAAACCTCAAAAGAATCAGCTGAATCTCAGAAGAAAGGGAACATTCACACACAATCACATTATGTGAGATCTGCCAAAAAGGGAAGGTTAACACAACTTGCAAAATTAAACAAGGCTGTTTGAGATCAAAGATTCTTGCATAAAATCTTCTTAGCTTCTTATTTAAAGACTTCTATTTTAAGCAAAGCACTCACAAACTTAACAAACATTCATGCATTCCCCAATCCTCTTTCCGATCTTTTTTTCACTTATGACTATCTTTACTAATAAAAATACTTTTAAAAGACATGAAATCATGCTATTAAGAAATGGTGCATTAAAACTGGAATGAAGTGGCAACTACGAGTGCCAGATTTCCATAACTACTAACATAAAGAAAAATACATTACCCTCAACAAATTCTCCAACTTATCAAGAAGATTAACCATCTTTTGAACCTCCTCACTAGCATTGAGACTAGGATCCTTCGAAGCAGCAGCTTCAAACCCACCAAGGGCCCTTTCATAATTCTCTAGATATTGATTTGCCTGAAAATAGGAATTCCTTAGAGGGTAATGGAATTATAGTAAATATGAGTAACTGAACAGCACTTGACACCAGAATAAATATTTGGAAGCTCTACCTAAACAATGGAATTGCTAAGTCAAAATTCACCATTAAGCAAGTGATTGATTGCTCTCATTAAGTCTTCATCAAATTATACTTTCAAGCATAGGCTACTGTACTTGTACATTACCGAGGATTCTAGGAGCATCCCCTTCAATATCTCAGTTTCTTGCATACCAAATCAAGATGACAAGAGCAAACGAAAAACACTCATGGAGAGTTTTAGGTCACCAATTCAAAATAATTTTCATTCCTGCTCCTAAATTTACAAATTCATCTTTCTTATCCTTTTTGTCTAACCATTATAAGCCTAAAATTAAAAGATCTTTTATTGCAGTTTATTACCAATGTTGACTAGTGATGCAAATGAAGATTGGAATATGCATTTCAAAGAAAGAATACACATTCATCCTGTGAATTTCTAGAAACTTCCAGACAATTTCATCATTTGAGAAAAGTTGTTTATGATCAATCAATTAAGAGAAGAACCTTTAACTTACAGTGGCACAGTTGAAATATAGGTCTGGATTGGACTTCATCCTCTCATCTTTCTCCTGTGATATATTTTTAATAGACTCAGTAGAGGACAAAATTACAGCAGCTGGGTTGAAAAAAAATTACGAATGTACTCAACAGAGAATTATAGAAAATACAAAACGATTGGTAAGCCACACACAACCAAACATGATTCACAGGTAATTAATCACTTCATATAATAAACTCCTATTTAAAAAGAGGCTAATTGGTCCAAACTTCCTTTCAACAGGAACTTAGTAATTAACTTTCTCCATTTGATTTTGGTCCCAATCCCATTTATTTTTTGGAATTAACAAACTAAAATCAACATGTGATAGCCACGTGATTTGTCCTTTAAAGGAAACGTGTCATGATCTTATGGATCCATGTGTAAGATTCCATTTGTTAATGAATGGAAAGCTGATAGAGGGGTGGCATTCAAGAATTTTAAGAGTTAGGGCTGGGTTCCTTTCGACAGAAAGTTCAGTGGAGGTTTGGATCAATTAAACTCTAAGAGATCCGTCACTAATCATCAAATGGATTCAAAAAGGAGACTTCACAGTCTCCACACTTACAGCATTTTGGTATGCTTTTAAAGACTGTAGGAGCTTGCTGTGATCCCATGCTCCAGTTACAAAAAAACTTGTCAGACATGCATTTCCAAGGTTGTCTGTAAAACGATGAAACAACATCAAAGGAACATGGTATGGAGGCTAAAATAATAACTAAAAAAATAATTTACAAGTGTGTGTGTGGCCGAGGGGTTTGCGCATGTGACAAGTTTGGGTTAGATCCTAGTTTATCTAGACAGTGAGTAAGAGCGAAAGAGATATCTGTGTGGGTAGGGCAACATCAATAGCCTAAACCAGCATAGTCATCATACAAGTATATATATGTATATGGTGCTCAATAATTCTTATACAGCAGCAAGAAGTGATGCTCGAAATCAGTAACTAGCCTTCAAAATGCAGCTAGTGATACAGACAGGAAGCAAACACCAGACGTATACCTTCTATTTTCAAGCCATTACAAAATGTTGGATATGTTGTAAAAACTGGTATATTATAAACAAGGATCAATAAAATTGTAAAAGAAGTAATTGCTCTGAGCTGATTTGACTTAGAATCTTACACCAAGAGTTCCCATCCTTGACATCCAAAGTGATTGCATCCTTGGCATGTTGAATGCTTTCCTCAATAATTTGTGCCTGATTTTCAGCACCTATATCAGGGGAGGAAGGCTATGGTAAATGTCTATATTCATGCATGATAAAGTCAAATTACAAACTTCGCCCTGCATGTTTTCGGGCTCTGGATTTAATCATTTGTTTACGGCTGTTGCTCAAGTACCTGAAGGCTGTTTCACAGAATTTCATGGTGGTTTTTACAAGAAAATACATGTTATCCAGCATGTTTTTAACTCAAAACTACTAAAAATACATTTACTGCAGTGACATAAATTTGTGAAAGGACTAATTTTGCAGCCATGTTAGCTCTTCCACCCTATAACCAGCTGATAGTAAAGAAACTTCAATAGAAGACACTTCGGTTGCAAAAACATTTTACCCACCACTGAGGCTTAGATAAAGTGTTATAATTATTAGGCAGCTACAGGCATCAAATTCCATCACGAGGAAGACAAGATAAGCTGGGAAAAGGTCATATACACTCCATGAAGACATCTGGGTCAGCACTATCAGCTTAATGACTTAGGTTTTTTTGGTAGGTTAGTACAGTTAGAGTGGCATGAAGGATACGGTGAAATAAGGAATTAAACTAATTGTACTAGAATTGACCAATCAATTCCTCTATTTGGGTCCAAAACTAAATATGCAAGTATTGTAATTGGTTACAATGATATAATTAATTTAAAAATAATAATAGTGCAACTAAATCATAAACATGTTTATACAATAAACATTCGTGTCTTTTTGGTTTACTTGTACCTACTGATAACAGATGCATTCTATCTTAAAGAGGGGCAAATCATCATTCTAGGTTTGGACTACGAGAATAACTATGAAACATATCACTAAGACTCTTCAATTACTTTTGCTGTGACAATATTTTTGATGCATTTTTCTTTGTAACATAATCTTCATAACCTACTAATCGCCATTAAAATAACTAAGAAAATGGTGATCACTTTAGTAGCCAACCCCTTTCATTCTATCACAAAACAAGGTAACTAGAATCGTGACGTTACCATGAGTGCATTATAATTTTGATCAAAGCATACCAAAGATGTCGGGTTTGTCTTGATAAATTATGGAGATTAAAGAAATTGTGCCATCAAAGTGCTAGAAAATATCAATGAGCAAACCAATAACAAGTCCAATGCATGCTTTTACAAAATGCCAGAGAAGTTAAAAGTTTAGAGCGGGAAAACAAAGAGAAAACTTAAAATCCTTGCCTTGGGCCATTCTTCTTTCAAGCATTGATAACAGACAGAGTATCTTCTTATTTGGACCCTGCACAGCAGCCAACATAGAATATCCATCAGTATCTGAAAAAAAAAAAGAAGTATGGTAAAGGGGTTAAATGTCTACTAGAACTTATAAAACCTTGCTTAGTGCAAGATTGAAGCAATTTTTTGCAGAAGGTAAATCTCCCTTCTTCCAGATGCAGTTGCCCAAGCACAGCCAAGCATCTGCAAGTGATGGATTCAACTTAACCTGGGGACATGAATTAAGTCAGTTCCTAACAATGGACCTCAAACTAAGCATCATGACACTCGAAACTAAATAGAACTCACAGCTTTAGAGAGATGGTCCTCTGCTTCTTTACTGTATTCAGGTACCGCATCCAGTACCTTTCCTCTCAGATATTCATATGTCGCACGTTGCTTAGGTGACTTCCTTTGTTCTACGGAAAAAAAAAAAAAAAAAAAACAGTTCTTTCACCAAACATATCAAGAGACAAACGAAGATACCCTTTGTAGAATGAAGGCCAATGAGAACTAATTAAACATGCATCAAACAGAGGAATTGAAAAATTTAAGAGTCAGTAGGTCTAAAGGAAGTGGAAACTGCAAACACATCCATCAAACTAGGAGACATTATTTAAGCAAGCGAAGAAACAAACTTTATTATCACTGACCACTACTTGCTTATTGCTTGTTAGTTCATTAAATTTAGAAAGAAAAGGCAACATTTTCAACAAGCACTGTTTCATGAGAGGGGGAAAAAAAACACTTCAGTACCCATATCAAACAGATACGAAGAGATTCGATGCTCAAAAACAAAAGGGTCGTTGAAATTCTCCAAACCCATTTCAAAATTGATGCGAGAGAGAGGTAGAAGGCACCCACCAATAGGAATGGAAGCGAGGAGGTTGAGACAGAGATCAGATTGTGATTGCAATTTGGAGACTTTGTCACATGGGTTTGGTGGGAAATAAGTGTCCCTCAGCGTGTAGAGATCATCTGCTGCTTTGATGGCTTTTGCCCATATATCTTCTAATTCTTCTCCTTCTCTCACTGGCCAGCTGCTGCTGCTGCTGCCGCTGCCGCTGCCGCTGCTCATCTCTTTCTTTCTCTCCTGCCTACTGCTACTACAAATCAATGCAAGCACTAAGGAAGGAAGAACCTCTCAGAAAGCAAACTAGAGCGTTATTGAATGCTCTAGGATAAACACGACGTCGTATGGTCTTGCTTTTTTTTTTTTTTTTTTTCAAAAACCCTCTTTCTTTTTTTCCACAAAAGAAGGCGTCTATGTAACGGGGATGCAATATACGCTCCTCTCGCGTCACTTCAAACCTATATCAAAGGATCCAACATGAGACCTCCCAGAGGTTAAAAAACCTACTCCCAAGTCCCAACACTACAATAGTATTTTAGTTGAGCACCTTACTAATTGAAAGTTACAGAATAATCAAAGTTGAGTACTGCTACAATTAACGTGAAAAACAGCATGAATAACTTACAAACAGCCAAAGTGACATTTATTGTAACTTTTTATTCAATTTTTTAGGCAATTTTTATTATGTGTGTCTTCATAAAAATTTCGCTATAAAATATTGGTGCTGTACATTATTGCTGTCAAAGTTTACCTTTTATTCTATTTAGGCAAATTATACATAGGCCATCTCACTTCATACCACAGAGGTTTCTTCTATACATATTGAGAATAGGTCTGCTATATAATTGATTTCCTTATAAAAAGAGAAATAAAATTAATATTTATGTTTTAACATAGAAGGGACTGGGGAGGGTTATATTGATACATAGCAGAGCATCTTATGAGAAGAAAAAAGAAAAAATAAAAAGACAGAAAAACCGGAGAAAAACGACAAGAAACTTTTGGTTGGAGCAAAATGACGTGTCAAAACAGGATCAGAAAATGTTGAGAATTAATCATGATAACCACAAGTAGCAATTCATAAAGGCAAGCATGACAAAATCATTCATGCACCCTGCTCGTGCATTCCGTTTTACTAATTTTGTCTCTCCTCTCTCCAGAAGCAGCTACCTTTTATACTAAATCAGGACTTCCTTTCAAACTATTCTGCTTTACTAATGGAGAAACTAATTCTCTTACTTGTCATCCTCTCGTCTTGTTCTTTCTCAGTGTCCTCCTATAACGTGTCTTCAATTTTCATATTCGGAGACTCCATCTTTGATGCTGGAAACAATCACTTTAACAAGAACTCCTCCGCCCAGGCCGATTTTCCACCTTATGGATCAAGTTTTTTCCACCATCCTACTGGGAGGTTCACTAATGGTAGAACAGTAGCTGACTTCATTTGTGAGTTCTATAGATCAACTCATCTTTCTTCTTCTTTTTTCCCTTTTAAATAGTTAATCGGCAGTGAAAAAAATAACAATTAATGGGGCACACTTATAATAAAATTCTTAAATGTTTTTTTCTTTAATTTTCTTCGGATCTAAAAAGCAGCACGTGAACCCAAAACCTCATTTCTTCACTTTTAAAGGAGTGCCACTAAACTAAATATTTATTATTATAATGTATTTAGATGTTTACTTTACACCTAAATATTTGTAATTATATATATATGATATATGGTCCAATTTTTTCCTACCCTCTACGTGATTTTAATTAATTAACAAAATCTTCTTTCTCAGTTTTTTTTTTTTAATTTTAATCTCAATGGCGTCGAAAATGTCCGAGGGAAAGGCTTTTTATATTGTACCTGAATAAGTTTAGTTAATTAAACCAAAAGAAAAAAAAAAACAATACTGTAATGTTAGGTAAAGGTTCTTCCATACATTTGTGGCGTCTTGGAACTCATACAAGGCCAACAACATGCAGAGCACGTACACTTGCATAGCTATTTGACTGATCATCTGTATGGATAATTTCTATCAATTTATTTCGTTTTCTTTAAATAATTTTTCAATTTGATATATATCTTTTTTTCTCGTACCTTGTTTGTCGAAACTGAAGCACAATTTCTGGGGATTGAGTTCCAAAAGCCCTTCCTCGAGGCACAGCTTGCAGTTCTGAACGGAAGCAGGAAGGATTATCCATCTAATGGCATCAACTTCGCAAGCGCTGGCAGCGGTGTTTTGCAGGCAACAGACAAAGACTTGGTAAGAAATTCTATTTAAAGTAAAACGTAAACTAGAAAAAAATAAAAATTCTAAGTGGGCAATTTGAGTGGCCCCTGTGATTTTTACTTCTAAACTTTTATGGGCCTTAGCCTTTGGTGTGAAATCATTCACAAGCAGCCGAAACAGGTTAGGAGGAACTCTAATTGTGACGCAACATGAATCATGGGAACTTTGCCATAGTCGCAAGCCCGCATTGCCTTAGCCCACGAAAAAAAGAAGAGATAAAACTAATGAATGACATAAGGAAAAAATGGCAACACACGTATATAGTCACGCAATTTGATCAAGTTCTTTCCCTTTCACTTTTGAATCCAAACACAAATTTTCGAAAGCAATCTTCTTATTTCACTTTCTTTTTAGAATTATTTCAAAATATTTAAGTATTCACTTTAAGTGCTAGCGTATCCTATATGGTAGTAACATTTTGGTTATAATATGACAGGGAGTGATATCAATCCAGCAGCAGCTGCGACAATTTCAAACACTAGTACAGCAAGATCTGATTGACAAAAATCTGGTCCAAAAATCCTTGTTCTTTGTGGAATCAGGATCTAATGACATTTTCAACTATTTCCTCCCTTATGGCACCCCAACACTTGATCCTGATGCCTACGTGCAAGCCATGTTAGCAGAAGTTGTAAATTTGATCGACCAAATTTACGAGCTTGGTGCTCGCCGCATTGCTCTGTTTTCACTAGGCCCTGTTGGGTGTATTCCAGCAAGGGCCATCTTGCCAGGTGCACCGGTTGATAAATGTTTTGGAAAGATGAATTTGATGGTCAAGAAATACAACAAGGGATTGGAAAGCTTGGTCAAGGACATGCCCATGAAATACCTTGGTGCAGTTGGTGTCTTTGGTGCTGTTTATGACATCGTACAGTCATTTCGAGCTATTCCAGCACGATATCGTAATTCATCAGCTGACTCTCAAAACCATAAACAAAAATATTAAATATATAATTAATCTGGGGAATTGGGTAACAGCGTCTTTTTATTTATTTATTTTACAGGCTTCTCTGATGTAGCTAATGCATGCTGTGGTGGTGGAACTCTTGGAGGGTTGCTACAATGCGGGCGGGAAGGCTACAAGATTTGTCCAAATCCTAATACGTTTTTGTTCTGGGATTATTTCCATCCAAGCGAGCACACTTACAAGCTCATCTCCAAGGGATTGTGGGGTGGAAAGAACTCAAGAATTAGGCCAGTCAATCTGAAGACTCTAGCCAGCACACCTTGATATCCATGTTTGATATCAGAGGGAGGAAAAAAAAAAAACACATCTTGTTTTTTGGAAGAAGATGCACATGAAACAATTACTTAATGCGTTGAGAAATTCTGCATGTAGTCATATGATCATCGAACACTTAGTTATATTTCACTTGAATTAGTGTTTAGTAGCTCGCTTGGATGACTTCTCTACATATTGTCCCTGATTCCATATATATATATATATATTAGTATGGACTTATGCAAAAGGATTGAGAACGATTAATTTCTATCCTCGAATCCCACAAGGTTATCTACGAGGATGTCGTTGAATTTTTCAAATCAATATCAAAGATGTTATATCCGGGAAAATTGTAGACTCAATCAAGGGGGACACATAGAGGCAACAGGATCCATATCCCAGACACTTCATTTGAAAACAAGGTTGTAAGTACTGGGACTACTTTGGAGTACCTACACCATCCAGACGATCCTCGGACGAGCCGTCAGGGCTATCTCTGGATAGTCAGTGAGTGGTTGGAGATTTGCACCTATTTCCATTAACCAGAAGGACATAAATTACATTCAATAAATGAAGGCTCACCATCAGAGATATTTTGTTCAATCAACAATAACCATAACATTATAATGTTTATTCAATAGTAACCCATCAACACCATAAACATTTATTTTTTAATCAGAATCAAATTATCATATCTATTCTTGCATGCAGCTTTTAAACAGTCAAAAGACTTAAGTTCTAGGTTTTGAATCTCTCTATCAATAATCACTATTTATCATTTCATTCGTACTTGCATAACTACATCACTTTTTTTCAAGCCATTATCTCTTTTTAATATATTGATTTAGTAATTGAAAGATCCTCAAATCTATTAAGAAAACTTATTTTATAGGTATTTCAGCCAGTTTGATCTATATCTATTATCAAACTTCACAGCTATATTGGTCAAGAAAAAATTAATTCATCACACATCATCATAAGATTTCTGCTAAGGCTATAAAACCTCAAAGGATGATTTGGTTCTTTCATAGTTTGATGCAATGGTGGTACTTCTTTGTTGATTGCAATGTTGATGAATGACTAAAATATTTACAAAATAAATCCTTCTAGATGGTTTCCGTGTAAGTACATCGACTTTACGGGTGTGTAACCTGCATACCAGCTATAATTTAATTCACGACCAATGAAATTAAAATGGAATAGATTTGTTTTTTCCGAAGCGGACTTAAAAACTGTTTTGATAAGAAGGCACACAGTTTCCGAAAGCATTAGAAAAAATGGCATCCCACAAGGATCACACCTTGTTTCTGCTACGATAACCCTTATCCTAGGTTACAACTAATCATATGTTTTGACAAAAAAAAAAAAAAAAAATTCCACTGAATGCTATTACTCCTTCGTTTGTTATCGGGGGTTCGGGCTGCCACCTGTACTCGCCTGACCTTCTGAGGAAAGCCATAAGACATGCCGTGTGTTTGGTTATTTTTTAGGATAACAGCAAATTGTCGGGTTCAAAACTGATTGGTCCTGGTGGTCTCGAAGTTGATTAACGACAGATTTTCCAAATAACAAGTCATTAAGGGAGAAACACTAATTTGGTGGGCCTAATTTTACTTTCATGTTAATTGGTTTAATGAAAAACATTACTCATGTTTTATTGTAATTTGATAATTTTGAACTCCAAAATATCGATTTTTGGATAAATCTTACTTAAAAACTGTTTTTTCTTTATTTTTCAAAAAAAATTCTTTCTATTTAAAATTTTCGCATGTTAATCTCTTTGATTTTTCATAATCAATCAAATTATTATTTATATATAATTTTTTCAATTTTTTAAAATAACTTTTATATAGTATCAATATGTATTAAAACAATAAACTTCTATAATTAATAAAATATAAATATCTATTTGTTGAATTTGATCACTTGGAATTATCAAATAATTAATTTTAACTAAAACTTTTTTTTGTCATGTCAATAAATTTATTCTTGTAATTGTCAATCATTAAATTTTAAATATAGCTATATTTTTAATATTTTTATTTTCATATGTTTTACAGGATTTTTTTTCTCACAATTGATTCAAATATATAACATGCATTTAAAATTTTAAGTGTTAGAAAACCATTTTTTAATTTTTTTTAATTTTTAGTTTTTTATAGATAGGTTCAAAAAGTAAAAGTTCTTTTTCAAGGAGAACAAAAAAAAAACATTAGTGATAAATTTAATGTTTTTTTATTCATAGGTAAACCAATGGAAAAAAAAATCTCTCTTAAAAAATGACGAAAAAATATTTTTAATGATTTTTTATTAATTGCAAAAAAATAACTACAAAAAAAATTATAATTAATAGATTTGAATAAAATTTTAGGATAATTAATAGAAAAACCTTATAAAAAAATCTTCTATCTAAAAAACCCATAAATTTATTTTTAAATCTCTCAAACCAAAAATAATATTTTTCTTACCAAAAACATCTAATAATTAACACTAGTGTTAACTATTGATTGTTTTGATAAGAAAAATATTGTTTTAGGCTTATGAGATTCAAAAATATTATTTTGTGTTTGGGAGATTTAAAAATAAAATAACGAATTTTTTAGGTTGAAGATTTTTTAGAAGGTATTTTGGTAATTATCTATAGTTTAAATGAAATCATTATCTCTCAAGATATGTATTTCTATCATGGATGATCATGGTTTATTTAATTAATGCACTAAAATATGTTATACATTCATCTTGTAATTTGATTTATTATTTGATAAAAAATGTTGAGTTTTGATTAATTAAAAACTAGTATTACCGATGATGATTTTTTTTCTATCAATATATTAGGATTTAAGAAATCACTAATGTTCATAATCATATATATTTTATTTTTCTTATTTGTATGATAACCCTTTGATTAAATTACAAGAGAATGACAAGAGTCTCATTTCATCAATATTAATTAGTTAAATTGCGTCGATTGCTATAGTTACTAGATAGTAAAATTAATCTCGTAATTAATGAAACAAATGGTCGATAAAAAAAAAACCCTAATATAAGGAATTTTTTAGTATAATAATAAAAAAAAGGTAGTCGAATGTTAGTGTTTAAAAGTTAAGGAACATCAAAAACTTTTTTTTCTTTCGAATGCAATAAAAAAGACTTGACTTGATCATGAATTTTTTTTTCAAAAAAAAATATCAAACTCATTAAAAACTATGAAATGAGTTTATTATTAGATTAAAAAAAACCCTAAAAAAATTTTCTATCTAAAAAATCTTCAATTTATTTTTTAAATCTTTCAAACCTAAATATAAAAAAAAAATTTCTTATCAAAAGATCCAATAGTTAACTGATGTTAAGTTTGAGGTTAACTATTAAGTGTTTTGGTAAGAAAAATATTATTTTGGGCTTAAAAAATTTATAAATAAATCGATGAACTTCTTAGATATAAGCTTTTTTGGAAGATTTTTCTGATACTTATTCCTAAAATTTTTTCAAAACCTGATATTTTGAGTTTTAAATTACTAAGTTGATAACAAAAATTTGAAATTTTCAAATTGCAGCAGAAGGGCCAATTTTTACGGTAAAACCCCTTTTAATTATAGGTTGGCGGTTGCGTTTGTATAAAGTAAATGAGCTAGGTTAGTACCCTTTGTCATTGGGTGTAACCTGCGTTCTAGTGTCCGTATTTTTTTACCATATCTGACATGGATGCCTCCCTGCCTATTGTTGCTAGTGTCAACATGTTTATAGCACTCGACAAATTTCAAAACCTAATACGTGAAGATTAAACTCATGTACTTCAAAGTTTTTATTATCCTCTGATCATAAAATAAATGCGATGTATTTATCCTTATTTTTTTTCTAACTTGAGCAGATAGTTTTTTTTTTCAATTAGATTAGATTTTTTTATCCAGTTTTTTTAGTATTTTTTTAAATTATAGTTGTTTATTGTTATTTTTATTGTTCTTTTATCTTTCATGAATTTTTGGTTGCAGTGAAAAATTTACATAAAATGCTAATAAAATCAATATTAAAATTTTTTGTTCATTCAAAAAAGAATATCAAGAAAAAGATTAAGATAGCATAGTTACATATAGATTATTGGAGAAAAAAACGTGTTAACTATCCGCGCATTCGTAGGTTAGTCTTTAACTTTTAGATTTCATTCTATATTTTTAATTTTTTTATAATATTGTCGATGTATGTCTTTTTAGTGCGTTTATAGTGACATATAAGCCTTTTCATTATTTACATAGAAAATTCTCTTGTTTTTTAAGTGGCTTGAGATTAAGATATAGAAATTCTTTCCATTTGAATTATTAAAATTTATACTTTTGAAAAAAAATAAATCAATTAAATAGCGTTGGGCTCCGACTTTTGAATTGTAGCATCCACATGTCACGGCAGTTTATGTGTCAATTATTTTCCCACAAAAATATAGGAGTGGAACGTCAATTACCTCTTTCAAAAGTTAGGGATTGAAGTCAATATAACGGAACATAGTTATAATGTAAACACAAATCCCACATAGTTGTCCAAAAAGAGAAGACAAGGGCCCATGACAAGGACAACCCGGGTTCCCATAATAGACTTGTTTCACCAACGCTGACGACCAAGCTGACAAGAAAGCCAGCAAGTCAGTACATCCCGCCAGGTTTAGTTAATTTGCGTTAAAAAATATATATATATATATATAGAAAGGTTTAATGTTATTTTTTTATTCAGTTAATTTGGCTAATTTTGACTTAGATCTCTTTCATCCAACTGTTATCATTGACCAAAAACTTTAAAAAAAATTTCAAATTTTAATATTTTGAACTGAAATTTTTTTAACTATATCTGTTCTTCAAAACATTTGAAGTTATGAAGCATTTTTTTTAATTTTTATTAAATATTTATTATTAAAAAATAAAAATAATTTAGAATGATTTTCAAATTTTATTAGAAGGCTTAAAAAAAGTTTAGTCTCGATATAATTCTCAAAATATTTGCATAATCAAATATATAATATTTAATCAAACTTAAAATAGGTTAATTTTTAAAAACTATACATGTAAAAATTTTAAGAACTAAATTAAAATTATCTATGTAAATTCATATGATTTTCATAGAGCTTTCAAAAAATTTTGAGTTAATTATAACTTCGTTCTATTTTTATTATTTAAAAAAATATCTCTAAATTCCCAAAAAACAAATGAAATTATTTGTGAAAGTGGATTGAATTTTAATTAACTTCTATGAAAAAATGCAGTTGAAAAATATTAAAATTTGAATTTTTTAAAAGAGTTTTTTTTATCAATGCAAACGGCTAGATCAAACAAAAAAGACAATATCAGTTTAAAATATAATAGTTTAAAGTTAAAATTAATGAAATTAATAATAGAGACTTCAATTTACCATAACTCTAATTGTCCGTGAGCCAAAAAAAAAAAAAAAAATACCCTTGAATAATATGGAAAAGATTTTTGTTTATGCTATCTTGGCTAGAAGATTCTGACCTTCTAGTTGTAGCAACACACGGTCACACCACCAATATCATTAACAGCTTGCAATTTTGTATTTATCTAGGCCCCACACGCCATTAACAGCCAAGCTAGGACTCAGTAGAGAATCATAAATCATCATCTTCACTTTTTCCTCACATTTGCTCCCACCAGAACCTAACGCGTTTTTCTCACACAAAACAATCCAGCACAACTTTCACACCTTTACGCCCTCGATTTTTTTCCATAAATTAATTGCCTTTCTTTGACTCTCTCATTCCCTATATAAAAGCCCACAATTTCCCTTCCCCTTTTTTCTCAACAAACTCATCGCCAATTTCATTTCATTTCCTCTCCAAATCCAAAGAGATAAGTCTGTTCTCTGTTCTCTGTCTCGAATAGCTTTGACTGAATTTTCTCAATATGGGCAACTACATTTCATGCACTTTAGCCACGCCTTTGATCAAGAGCTCCAAGGCTGCAAGGGTTGTCTTCCCAACGGGTGAAGTTAGGCAATTCAGGGAGCCCGTGAAAGCAGCAGAGCTCATGTTGGAGTGTCCAAACTTCTTCTTAGCAAACGCACAATCTCTACACATTGGCAGGAGGTTCTCTGCCCTTATTGCCGACGAGGAGCTGGAATTTGGGAACGTTTACCTCATGTTCCCAATGAAAAGAGTTAGTTCTATTGTTACTGCTGCTGACATGGCTGTTTTCTTCATGGCTGCAAACTCCGCTGCTAAGAGAATTTCTGGAGGAAATAACCATAGGGTCTTGCCGGAATCCGGTGCTGATCAGAACGTTCAAGAAAGTCCAAAGGCAAGTGAGGATGGAGCAGCAAGATTGAGTTTGGAAGGAGCTGAGGGGTTTCCAGTGCCAGAATACAAGTATAGGCTATCTAGTTGTAGGTCAAGGAAGCCTACGTTGGAAACTATAAATGAAGAACCTGTTCGTTTGAGAAGAAGAGCTAGCTAAATAGATTAATTGTTTCAGTTTGCTTGGAGAGTTAACTCTAATTCATTTCTCTTTGTATTTGCTCTCTGAGCTTTTTGCCAACGCAGAGGGTGATAATTAGCTTAATATGATGATTATTGAAGAATATGATCACTTGTGAGCTGTAGGAGAGTTTGATATATATATATATATTTTTTAACACAATATGTGGTCAAAATTATTGTAAAGAAAAAAATGGAATCATTTAGCTAGGTTACATTTTGATCTGATTAATGTAATTAAAATCAGGTCGAGAAATTTGTTACATACTTCTGTTTGAAGAACATGAATAAATTTGGTTTCTTTTAGCTGTTTATTGCATCATTCTCCATATATAAATTATATCCCATTATGTAAAAGGCAACACTAATTACAATAAGTTCATGTTTTAGTCAAAATTCTAATTGTAAGGAATTGGAATTCTTCTAACTTGGATGACCAGGGGGGCATCCAAATTTAATTTTGGATGTTACAACTTGCAAGCCATGTGCATATTTTGTGAATTTTATGCATAGTAGGGGGAAAAAAAAAGGAGCATTCAAGGATGGTGGCTGGAAGTTTCTTCTGTCACGCCGGGGGAGGCGTATTGGACCAATCCTAGAGGCCGTGTACTATTGACACTCACACATACGCATCCACAGAATGCTTACTTTACTTTTCTGGCCCAAAACCAAAGGTAGGAGTACAGCGTTCCTGGATCATTTTTTGGTGATACATAAACGACTAGGGAATTGCTATTTATTGACTCTGTTTTCAAACCTTTTATTTTAAACTATTAAAATAACCTTTCTTTTTTATTTTATCTGGTATCCCTTTTGAAGTTCTAACCTGCAGAGGCCGTGGCACTCTAAAATCCTACTCATAGCATCGATTGCGTTAATTTGAAACTTTTGTAATACAAGTGTTATCCATTATTAACATCTAACTCAACTCAAGTCCTACCAATTTGAAGATGATTGACAAAAAGAGAGAGAACACAGCTGATTTAACGGTGAATGGAGATCGTTGCATTGATGGGGCAAAGTCAATTACAAGATTTGAACTCATTAATGATTGGGTTCTCTTGTTATGGTCATTTGAGTTCCATCACTCACAACCATTTGAGTTTTTAAAATTTCTTTCTTGGCTTGCACTAATCATTCTTTGCCGAATCACACACTCATCTTTTTTCTGCAAAACAATAGTAGTTTTTATGCCTATTTTTGTGATATATATAGCAATGTGAACAAACAGTTCGGTGCAGCGGCAAGTGAACTTTTCACGTGACATTCATCTATAATTGAAAATTCGAATTTCATTTTTTTTAAAAAAAATCAATGGTTCAACTGTTTATTTCTCGTTCAAGCTTTAATTTCTGCTATCAATTTTATATTTTGCTTTAAGTTAGAACTCCAGTGGAAGGCAGCTTGAAAGTTGAAATTTTGGACTAGAGAGGGTGTGGTTAATTACTGGGGAAGATGACAGAGATTGAGATTTGAGAGACAAGACGCTTTTCTTTTCTTTTCTTTTCTTTTTTTCCCCAATTGAAGAGATAGGGATACTAGTTATATTAAAGTCACGTGTTTTGTAATGCTCTTTTCAAAATGTTTTTGGTCTAAAAAAAATATCAATTGATGTTTTTTCAAGTTAAAAGTATTTTTATAAAAAATTTTATACCATATTATCAAACAGAAATTAAATAAATAAAAAGTTATTAATTTGATTGTTAAAAAGTACAACAATTTTAAAAAGTATTATCAACAGACAAGAGCCTTTGAAAAAAAAAAAATAGAAGATACATGCAGATACATCTAGGCATTGGCAATTAAAGTTTCAAAATTTTATTGAAAACTTCGTCTCCATTTAAAATATGAAAATTTAAAGTTAACGGTATACTAAACCTCGTTGTATAGCAAAGATTCATTAAAATTTTCAATGAATGATTAAAAAAAAAATTATAATCAATAAAAATGAAATTTCTTAATTAATCAGGATTATAAACATATGTAAACCTTCCTCCAAATAAATTAAATAATTTGGCTAATTAAAGAAATTGTGGGGTGGGTTGTTCTTTATTGTTTATCCTTTTTCTTATGATTAATTACTACTACAGAGTTAAACATGTAGTTTTGGATGTTTGAGTAAATTTTTTAAGAATCTTTTTAATTTTAGTATGGTTTAATTTTAACTCGTAAAAATGATCCGAAAACATCTTCTGATCATAAAATAGAAAATATTATTGAATGGATTGATGATGACAATTAAGATGATAATCATTGCTCTTCAATGTATAATTGTCATAGAGGAATTACTTAGATCTGCAAAACTAATTAATAATATTTATGACATCCAAACTAGGAGCAAAGCATATCCAATCAAAAGAAAATTGCAACGTTTTCAAGGAAGACACTCTTTAGCAAGTTATGCACGAGGTAACATTGAATGATTTTTCTTGAATAAGCTTTTTTCTTAGAAACTAATTATTAAAATCTAGAGCTGTCACTTTTATTGGCAGAACTGAATTGAGCATCTCGATTGGTGGTTGTAAGTTAAGTGTGAGAGGTTTTGACGTATATCATTTAAACACGAGAAGAGGCAAGGAAACAAAATGACATTTGAATTTTCTAGGGGACTGCGTGGTATCGTTTTTCATTTTCTGTCTTTTTTTTTTTCAAAAAAATAAAATTGTCAAGTTTTGAAAACTATTTTTGTTTTTTCAAAACACATATCTTATCTATAGCATAAGTTGTGGGTGGTAACATTGAATTCAAGAATCCAAAAATGCTAGAAGTTGAGGTTCGGATCGAGATTAGGTCTGAGACATCTGTATTAGGGCCGGGATTGAGTCCATTCGAGATATTCGAGTCTGGGCCAAAATCAGATATGAATGTTTGAGCTTGGATCGGATCTAAAGCGCTCGAAGTTTGGATAGGGATCAGGTTAGGAGTATTTGGGCTTCGAGATAGGACTAGTGTTGAGTTTTAGAACAATATCGAGTCTGGGTTGCTTGAGATTCAAGCTAAGACTGGATCCAAAAATCATGGGTTGAGACTTGGACATGGTTCAGGCTCGGATCTGGTTTGCAGCACCCAATGATCAAGCTGGAAAAAGGTCCAGATCTTCATGGGTTTGGGTCTAGAGCGCTCGGGATTCAAGTTAGGAAGGGTTCTAGGCTTTCTAGGTTTAGGTCTAGAGCATTTAAGGTTAGAACTGAGATTGGGTTCGAGATAGGGCGATACTAGATCCACATCGCTTAAGATTCCAGTTAGGAATAGGTTCAAAGCTTCTAGGGTTTGGACTAAGACTTGGATCCGGAGTGCCTCTGGATTTGAATTGAGACCGAGTCTAGAGTGCGTAAGGTTTGGATTAAAATGGGTCTAAAGTGCTTGGGATTCAAACCATAACAGGGTCTGGATTCCTTAATGTTCAAGTAGATGTCGGGATTCAAATTGATACTAAGTCCAAGGGTTCAGCCAATTGGGTTTTAGGCAGGGATCGGGTTCGGAGTGCTTAAGGTTTGAGCCGAGACTAGTTTCGATTCAGATCGAGATTGAGTCTAGGGCTCTTAGGCTTTAGACTAGAACCAGCATCATGGTTCAAATTAGAGTAGGTCTGGGATGGCTTGGGTTTGCATTGAGACTAGTATTGAAACGCAGACCGGATTCAAGTCCAAGGTTCAGATTGGGATCGAGTTTCGAGCACTCGAATTCAAACCAGGACTAGGTCTAGAGCTCTTTGAGGTTGGATCGAAATTGGGTCCTTGGCACCTACGGTTTGGACCAAGATTAGAGGTGGAGCCACAACCAAACAGGGATTAAGAGACCTAAGTGTCAAGTCTAGGAGTCAATCCCAATAAGTCAAGTATCCAATTGAAATTAAATATATTTTCTGAAAAAATCAACCAAACAAGTTTTTTAATTTTTTAGAAACTAATAAAAAATAAAAAGCCAAAAACTAAGATAAAAATAAAAAACAAAACAAAAATTAGAAATGACACCAAACGGTCCCTAATTTTCAAGGTATTTGATTGAGCAGAAAGTTTAGTGAGAGGAGGAGTGAGTATTCGATTTTTTAGTTTGGTTTTTAACATTTTAGTTCGGTTTTCGATTAACAAAAAAAAAAACCTGAACCAAATTTGTAATCTTTTTTCAATTTTAGGTTTTTTTATGAAAACCAAATTATTTATTTATTTTTTAAATAATATAAGCATACCCAACAAATTATGTTATGGACTATGAAGTCCATCTCTCTTGTCCAAATAATCTGAATTAACTTACATAAAAGATGAAAAATATTTGTTTAAATAAACTATAATTTCATGATCCATAATAGAAGTAAGATCCATTTGACAAATAAAAATAACATAGTTGATAGTATTAAATAAAAAAAGACATGCTATTAATTATTCGGATCTGTCAACCATAATAGACATACGCGAAAGATCTATTAACTTTTAAACCTTGTAATTTACTAATTTTTTAAAAACCATTAAGTCAAATAATCTATAAAAATATTCAAATATGAAATATTCATATATGTAAGTAAATAAAAATTGAAAAATTATCCACTTACCCCAAATCACTAACAATCCATCATATATTTATAGTAATGTTAAAGTATCGATTTTTTACATAAATTAAAAAAAATTAAAAATTCATAAAAAAATCAGTTTTTGATTTATCTAAATCAAAAATTTCAAAAACCAAACTAAAATCACTAACAATCCATCATATATTTATAGTAATGTTAAAGTATTGATTTTTTACATAAATTAAAAAAAAATTCATAAAAAATCAGTTTTTGATTTATCTAAATCAAAAATTTCAAAAACCAAACTAAATTTGGTTCTTTTTTTTTTTTTTTTTTTTTTCTCAGTCTGCCTTTTCTGTTTGATCTTTCTAATGCTAATATTCCGATCATCGCTTGGTATTTTGGCAGTTGACAAAACACTTCAGTGATGACTTCCTTACATGTATTACTGGAAAAGTGATCTTTTATCCTCTTTCAGTTGCTCAACTGAAACAGGTTGCTAGATTTCAAATCAAGAAGCTCTTCCGCCACTTTGCTCAGAAAGCCAAGGGCTTGACTTAAAAGCAAGCGACCTTCCAGTGTACAATACTACACACACACACACACAAAAGTATAAATTATGTATATTATTATATAGATTTTTTTTGTTAATTATTTTGATTATTTCTTACCTAACCACTTGATTTAATCAAACATCCATATCTATGTTAGAGGTAATGCTAATTTTCAAATCAATCGAATATCAAAATATATTTGATATAATTATGAAAATATCGAAGTAAATCGGTAAGGATTATTTGGATTGGGCTTTTTACTCACCTTTGCGGTTAGACTATTAAGTTCGGTTCTTTGGGCTATCAAGTGTTTGGAACTTTTAGTGTACTTGTCTTAGTGTCTACAATATATTAAATATATGAACGATTATCTCGTTCTCCCTGGAATTTGGAATTACGTAAGACTTAGTATCCTAAATAAACTTAAATTTTATTTGCAGGTGAGTGACTTAAATTGCACTTGCACGAGAGTGAGTTAGGCAGATAATGTTCGCACTATGCATTATGAAATTTCGATTTCAACGACATAGGATTAGGCCAATTTTTTCCTGGACCCGCTGAGCAAATGGATCCGTTATTTCTATATTCTTTCAAACTTAGTGCGTCCCGGAGAATAAGAATCTGATCGTGAATAAGCTAAATATGCACAAATGTTGAAAATTTTATGATGATGAATACATCATTTTTCCCATTGCCTGTGAAGGGCACTCGTAATGGCTTGATGTGATTGGTTGAATGTTTTGACTGGCTCCTAACGTGTGATTTGTCATGTGATAGTTAGAGCCAGTTCAATAATTATTCTTTCCCTTGTTATCGATTGAACAAGCTTGCTTTGTCTGCTGCAATTCCGTAAAATCAAGCCCTAATTTTAGAAGAAGATAACATTAAACATTTAAAAATGGGGGCATCTCTTGCGTCATATATTCGTTATTTACTAGTCCATACATATTTTGTTAATTAGTATTTCTAATATATATTTTTTGATTTGTTGGCGTATGGTTTCCAAATTTTTTAACTTGATTGATTGAAAAGAGAAAAATAAAGTGGGAAAAAGAATGAATTGCATGGTAAAAACTAAATGATTTGAAGGGAAAAAATATATATATATACTCATTTCTTCTGACCAAAGCAATGCAAAAAAAAAAACATATACATGGAGATAAACCACTTTTGTCCTTTTTCCACCACTATAACAGAAAGACGAAAAAAATCCTGAACCTAATAAAAAATAAAATCAATTAATCGTGGCACAAATTAATGATAAAACAATTAATGAAGAAAAATTAACCATTATTTTCAAATTGATTCAAATATTGGAAATTTAAGGAAAAAAAGGGGGAATGACACATGCCTTTAAGCCATTTTAGACCCAATCGATCAGTTGAAATTTAACCCCTAATTTTGTAAAAATCTAATATCGTGATGCATTAGTGAAGAGGAATTTATACATGGTTAAAATTTAGTTGTGATGTTTTTATATTTAATTTTGAGTTACAAAGACATAAACTTTCGGAAAAAAAAAATTGAATTACAAAAACATGGAGTAAATTATAAATTAGTCCCTCTCATCTTCCGTGATAATTTAACTTGTTTCTTGTAGTCAATTTTTTCCTCTTTCCTTTCCTTTTCCTTATTTGATAAAGAAAACTAGAAAAAAGATACATTCGGTGGAACAAAGCCTTGCCCTATGGAACTGAACAGATCTAAACAAAAGCTGCATCGATCCACAATATATATTTGTAGATAAAAATATACTCAAAAGGTTTGTTAACCCAATTTCATGTACTCAAATGAACCAGAAGAGAAACAAGGCAGATGCAAAGAGAACCAGAAAGAAAGACAAACCCAAGTGCACCACCTGCAAACCCCATGAGCTCTAAAGACTCCGATAAGATAGCATCTCTCTTGCGTTTGTGATCATAACCAGACTGATAATTCCAGCCATTTTCTAGTTTGCACCATTTGTCCAACCTCTCCTTCATCTGTACTTCTGCTATTCTGCCTCTTAGAATACCCAAGTTTGCGTCCACAATATTCGCAGATGTTCCTGCCAACCACAGTTTCAAAACTGCATGAGGATTTCATACAAAAGCACCCAATATTTAAAAAATTGAAAAAGAACAAAGAAAAAAGAAGTATATCCAATATAAATTCTTCGTAAAAGCTAAAATATTTTTAGTAAAAGCTTAAATAAGAAAGGAGGGAATAGTCATTCTTGAATATATATACAGACATGGGAGAGGTCCCTTAGGATAAATATTAATTTTGTCTAAGATATCCTATGTTAGACGGACAAAAGGAGGCAAATTAATATATACCATCTTCCCTAAAGCTTCGGCATCTAACTTGAGGATACTTGAAAGTGGATTCCTTTTGCCTGCAAAAAGAAGGATTCAAGCTACTAGTAGGTGGGAGAAAGGAAGCCATTTAGTCAAGATGAAGTACTAATTCCTCCAAATTCTTGATATATGTAGGTAGGGAGCTGTAATGAATTCACGGCTGGTAAGGGAATCATGTAGCTAGCTTTGATTTGCAGATATGTGGACACCTCACACCTGTGCACTTTTGCCCTATTAATTTAATTGGTGGTGTTTCTCCTAAATAAATTTTCAATTAGCTTTAATAATAAAGATTTCACTTTTAATTCAGGAAAATGAGTTGCAATTTGCAATTAAATAAGTTATGTTAGGGCTTATCCTATCGTTCTGCCATCTGTTTTTGTCAATTATAAAAACAATTATTCAAAATTAGTTCCGTGTTAGTATTCTGTTCAATTTTATGACTGTAAGATGGATGTAATTACAGGTTGTCGTCCAATGTAGCTCTATCAATTAAGTTAGACATAGACAAATAATTTTCAAGTAAGATGAAAAAATTAAATTTACATGCTAAATAAATATTGTCACGTGAGTAGCGCATGACCAACAAAAAAGAGAACAAAAATTCATCATTTGGACCGTAAATAGTTCGTGTGCTAGGTAATCATGTGATTAGTTTTTTAATTAATTAAATTGTGACACCATTATTTGTATCCTTAAATCTAAACCGTTATTTCTTCCTTAAAATAATCAGAAACCCTTTTAAATCCAGACTAAATCATTATACGGTTTGACTCCATACAATATTTTGAAGAATCTATTTGATTTTATAAGTGTTTCAGCCGTACAATTCAGTTCATGTAAACGAAAAAGCTTATAATCTAGTGATAATGGTCTCTTACAATAAAAAATTACGAGTTTAAATCCTAACGGACTTATTCTATTAGGAGCCTTAGGTGTATGAGTTAAAAAAATAATAATAAAACTAATCCGAGTTCATGTTACATGATTTTTTTGTTTATTTGGCATCCAATTAACAAAGCAATTGGATGGAGATTAATTAATTACTAGTCATTAATTGAATCAATTTTAACTATAATGAGTGGTTCAGTAGGAGCTTTGGACTCTCAACAAGAATTTCAAGATTCAAATTCAACTTCATTTTTTACCATCATAAAACTTATATCTATTTTTTTTTGTTCCAAAAGTATAGAGGCTTTAGAATCTTCGGTTTAAGATGAATCCGTATCAATCGAAAATGGTGGAAGAGTGATAGTTTTTTGAGTTAAAAAAAATTAAGTAGATCAATTTTAGAAACACTTACTAAACAACTCATTAACATAGAAGTAATTTAAATAATTGAAACAAACACCATGACAAAATGATAGGTTAAGCCAGTTATGTTATACAAAAACTTTATATACATTGATGGTGGCATCAGATAAGCGGTGAATATCCAATGTGTGTGTATATATATATATGTATCTTAGAAATAATATCACGAATGAAACCGAGTAAAGCAACTTACTAATTAATGAATTTTTTATATAATTTGTTTGTTTGGTTGGAAGGGGTCCTGTTGTGAAAAGAAGGAGGTAGCAGGTTTATATGTACTCAAACCTCTCGGGACAAGTGATGCTTTGAATTAGATTATTATTCATTCTGTTAGATAAGATGGAGTAAAACTTATTAAGGGCCATGAAATGTACTTCTTGACAAGTGTCATCAATATTCTTGGCCACCGCATCGTTAGAATTATTCAGTTGCAAACATTATTCGTCTCGCTCTTGTTTATGACTTCACATCGCCTCCATTAATTTCAACTTAAATAGCTACCCTTCACCTGAGAAGCCACTCTCACCGAGCTAGATACTTTCTTTTTTTCGTTTGCTGGTTTCAAATTTGAAGGCAAGCAGGGACGGAATGTGAAGCTATCCGTGAAAAAATAAAGGGGCTGCCAAAGCTTAGGATGAACAAAGAAAAATTTGTTAAACCTTCTGTCTTTATCATTTTTTTCCTATTTCTTGAGTTATAATTCTTCAGGGATCGGGATCGTTTAACAAATACACAGACAAGTTCCCAACTTCCATTGGTTTGTTAAAACAGAATATGTCAAGTTTTCAACATATTTCGATATCAATGAATTAATCCATGGATAATTTTGAATAAAATAACATAAATACATATGTTACGTCACCCATACTATACTATATTATATTGCTTTCATTCTACACCCCTTCACTGATTCCATCATTCTCTACATATGTCAACGAGGGAGAGGAAGATGCACCATTTTTCCCGAAAATGTCGTATATATGAAGCTGAGAGAATCATGAGTAAAACAACGTTTTTTTTATTTAGTGCTCCTTTAGTCCTGTCCATTCTATTCCTAACTATAAAGGATAAGATCACCTGCAATTTTCTGTGAGTATATATAGTGTTGGTATACATGCACTGCACAACGAATTTGAAGGAAGAAAATTCAATTTGAAACCCACAAGTTTAACCACTACGTGCTCACCCATAAGCAGTTTTTCAGTAGTAGTGGCTGCATGCATGTGGATGTGAAAGTTCATTCCAAAGCAATGTATTTATGAAATCCTTATTGCTGGTGAAAATATTAAAAGAGGTGGGTTTTTTCAAAAAATCCAAAGCTAACATTATTTTCTTATGCCAAATGTATCATCCTGTGACCGGATCTAATCATAACTTAAATTTGCAACGTATCAGCCATCCAAGAGATTGTAAAAGACAAAGAACATTAATGCCTTTTGGATGGATTTAAGACTGTAAAAAATAAAGAAACAATACTTTTAGATTTTTAATTTCCAAATACACTTTAAAAAAGCCGCATTAAAGAATAAAGGTTTGGTTATTTATAATTAGTAGAAATTATCTAGTGGTTAGGTGCGATGATTTGAAGATACGATCATGGTGATAGAAATAAAACTGGAGGGTAGCTAGTGCAAGAATATCCGACAGAGCCAGTTTTGTTGGAACAAGTGGCGCTGCCTTCACGTCATCATCTATGTTCAAATTCTAACTTTACACCACGTAGCACTTTGACAAGAATCCCTGCCCCATCGGACAAAGGTATGCCTTTCACGGATTTCAATAAGCACTCAACTTCGTATTTTACTAAGATTCTATTCAATCATGGGATTGAAGAAATGATGCTCCCAAATTCACCGATGGAAGCCTTATTTCCATCATTTAAAAATAAAATTACCAAAATATCTTATGAATAAAAAATGTGTTAGTAATTATCTAAAAAATTGATAAGAATAACGATTCTTTCATGAATTTAGCATCACCATGCAAGACATCAAGGCATGTTTTGTTTACTCGTGATTGTATGAATTAATTGATTTTCTTTCCATTGAGCTACATATGCTAATAGGTGTCCTTAGAAATAATTACTTAATTTTACCAATCATTCTCTGTTCCCTACTTTGATATTTTGTAATAATTCATAAAATATCAAAATATAAAATATAGTAGCACTTATTTAATTCATTGATATTTATTTGAATATTGAATTTTTACAATTTTTTTTAACTTAATCCAAAAATAAAGTCTAATTGCAATTAGATCTCGTTTAAAAGATGTGGTAAGACATTTATTAGCTTTTGCCATATTAAGCATATCTAATTCTAGTAGGGAGTTCTTGAGAACCGATCGGATAATTGGTAAACAAATCGGTTAAGGTGTAAAGAGTTAGTGTTGTGACTTATAAAAATAACGATCAACCAATCAAATAAAAAAGATACAAATAATAATAAAAAAATAAGATGAAAAGTAGGTAGTGCTAGCAAGGTACAAGTTAGGTGGTTGACAAATGAATAATCAAAATTCGAGCGAGATAGAGCTTTTAATTAAGTGTTGCACGGTGTGTGCACGTGTGTGTGTGTAGGAGAGCTTGGTGAATGTCACGACCCTCAAAGTAAGCCATGATCGACACCGGAATTGAAGAAATTGTGAGACCCATCTCGACTCAAGCAAGCCTCCGATATCTAATTCATAGTTATCAAACCTATAATAATTAAATATTTATCTAATTCATAATATCATAACCTAATTAATCAATACTTCCTAAATTCGAGTACAAACCATAGTTCCATAATATTTATATATTTCTAGAATAATATTCATAATTAACATTCCAATGTAACTTCTACAAATATAACTATAAAGCGTTAGAGTGCATAACAATATCAAAATATAAGTTCAAAATATTACAATATAAATGAGTTACACGATCAATGTGTCAATTTCAAAAAAAATAGTTATGAAGAGATAAATGAACAATCTCACAAATCCTGTAAAGCTGAAATGATGGGATATGAGTAAACAACAACTTAGTGATTAGATAATACATAACATAACTAAGGGAGAAAAACGGATGAAAAATCGATAATTTTTATATTTGCTCAAAACGCAATGCATATTTCTCAAACTAAAATACATATTTTAAATATCAAATCATACATCGTATTCTCAAATCATTCAAAATCAAATTGTCATATCAAAATACTTATAGTCAACTCAAATTATATCAAGTCTCAAAATCTACACCCGAGCTCGATAATCAAATCATATCGTATCATTGAATACGAATATCTAAAGGCCATGTTTCTCGTAGTTAGATATATCGTATGTTGCCTAACTGACAGTACTAGCATCGCATCTCTCTTGTTAGTGGGAGTATTTTTGTATCAATGAGCTCACGGACTATGTCCCTCATAGCTAGATATCCCAAGATAGTCAATCAAATCGAAAACTCGAATAAACTTACATATATTCTAAAAATCAAAAACCAATATATCCAAACACAATTCATGCTCAAAATCAAATTTGATAATCTAAATCAATATCAAATCTCATAGTCATAATTTAAGCTCAAATCAAACTCATATTCGAAATTATAAATTAAATACTTACTTAAAATTATACAATAAAATCATAATCAATAATCTTAATCAAACTAGTAACTAAATATATAGAATTAAATTAAATATTAAGTGAAAATCTTATTCAAAATACACAATCAAATCCTTTTTAGAATCATATCAAATTAATTTCAATATCAAACCATTTTAAGCATTTTTAAGGAGTCTCGTTTCCATCTAAATTTTAATAAATATGATTATGACATCATTAAATTAATGATGCATGATGAAGATGTCAATAAACTTAAAAATATGCTATGCTATATAGTATCCACTCATAGTGCAATCAAATGATCAAGTAAAGTCAAGGTTGATGAGATGAAGTCACCCGCTCCGAATAATCTAATAATACAAAATAATCGAATAATCATTAATATCATATATAAAGAGATAATTCAAAAGTAAATGAATTAATTTAGAAATCAGAATACAAGATAATTTGCAAGAATGGAATTTATCAAAAAGACTCAAATTGAGGATTCTTAAGTAAATTCTTACTCTCTCAACCAATTATAGAAAATTATCCAACAACTATATCTCCTTCATTTTACAATATTTCTCTAACGACCTAATTTATACTTTATTACAACTACTTCTCTATCATCAATTTTCAATTCATTTTTCACACAACTTGTCTCTAAAATCCATCATTAATTTTTAATTCAATTTCTCCTCCAACTTATTTCTACAATCTATCATCTTAACCAACTTAGGAATTTTTCAAATCCATAGTCCAATAATTATTTTCACACTACCATTATCTCATTTCAAGCATCAATTAGCATAAATAAGTATTTAATCATCAAACTCTCAAATTTAATTCCAATCTTAACCCTAATCTATCTTAATTTTTAATTAAAAAAATCCAATATAATTTAACTCCAAAATCTTCAATAAACACACATAGACACCTTAAATTTAAGACCAAATAGCAAAAATCTCACCTCTAACGTATCCAAACCCTAATTTCAATTTTTTAATTTCTCCAAACCTTTCAAACTTTAATCTAGCTTAATATCACTTTAATCATTTTAGTTTTATAGTTTTTAGAGTATTTAGATAAGTTTTTAGCATACAAATTAGAGAAGAGAATTAGAAAAAATAGAGAGAATTTTTTGGGTGAGAATGAAGAAGAAGAAGTGAGAAATAAGGGACAAAAAGAGTTTTCCTTTTTTTTTTTAATTCTTATTCTTTTCTCTTTTACGAGGATTGGGTACTAATTTTTATTTTATAACAAAAAATTCATATTTTTAATTTATGTTATAATGTAATTTAGCTTATAACTATTTCTCTTAATCTAAAAATATATAATTTACTAACTTAATCTTTATTTTAGGGAAAATTATTATAGTGAAGAAGAGTTCGGGAATTTCCTTTATTAGAGATCTAAAAATTCTAAAGTTAAAAGTTTTTTGATACAAAAGTTATGATCATCTCACAATGATGTATGATTGATATTTATAGTAAAAGAATATGGCTCATGACTGCTAGGATCATGTCACATCATTCAAACTTAGATGATTAGATTTGTATAGAAAGATTTAGGTTATTTGGGTTAGACTACTTTAACTTACTCATAAAGACTAAAAAAAGTAACAATTGAGTTTTATTTTAGTATATACTACTCCAAGACAATCTCTCTAATATATCCTAAAGACGATGCATAGACATTAGTCCTATCGTAACACCCGTGTCCTTCCTTACAACCAATTACCTTGTGCTGAATAAGGCTCATCTTCAATCCAATCCATTTATAGTATAGTTAGTTCATGTCAAAAATTCAAGAAAAAATAACATAAATTAGCATATAATAATAAATTAGCTAAGTTATTCAATTAATTAATTTTTATAAATAAATTGAATCTATATATTTAGATCTCTACACAAATAGCCTTGATAGCAAAGGTGTTTGTGTAATTATAGATAGCGAGATAGAGAAAAATAATATATAGAAGAACATAAATATAAAGCTAAAAACACAACCGACAATAACTATGGTAAATTTGCCATGAGTATTTGATATTTAGATGAAGATTTTGACATTGAAGATGAATTTTTTTA